ATACAATGCATGGGCATTGATACCTTGATTATGAAAGACAGACATGTTATGAAATATGAGACCAGATGTGAGGTACATCAGATCTGGTTTGTTGATGAGATGAGATGAGAGAGAAGCACTTGTACATAGCGGTGTGAATTCACTGAATCCCTCTATTGAATGCCACACAAATCCCTAGGGAGCACCTGTGACTTGCCAGACCAGCTGTGCATGAGAGGCTGGGCTGGGAACAAAGACACCCACCCCCAATTGGGGAGATAAAGCAGGTCAGGAGTAAGGGGTTGTCTCGAAAGTATTTGGTCACAATTATGATATTGTGGTAATTGGCCTGATTGGTGTGAACGTTCTATTGCAAGTCAGTTTGTTTAAATTACATACCAGGTATATGATGTCATTACTGACAGAGTTTTAAATAGGAAACATATGAGATTCCATGAGGTGATAGGTTCAACAGCCTCCTTGAGACAGTCCCTTGTTGTGAAACATGCCAGTACAGATGGTGGGTGCACAGATGCCAGCATACAGATGACCAACAATTGTGTGGGTGGACTTTCTGCTCCTTGTCATGTGTATAACAAGGGATTTCTTTCACCATTTTGCAACTCAGCAGGACAAAAATGGAATCTGTATGATCATAGAATATCTCTGTTTGTGTAAAATGTAAAGTGAAAAAACCCCAGGTATTACAAGTATACACATCTAGTGGTTTAAATTCTCTTTTTTAAAGTGTACAAATTCATTGTAGTCAGTGGCTGTTTAAATTCTGTGAAAAAAGGTTGTATGAAGTTTGAACAACAAAACACATTTGTCATTATTCACAGAGATAAAAGTATGATATTTTAAAGGCAGAAACTGTTTGCAATCAGTTGTCGAACATTCCCATTTAACTGAAATGACAAACACACTTCCTTGTATGTTATTTCCAGGTCAATATAATTTCATAAACACACTTCCTTGTATGTTATTTCCAGGTCAATATAATTTCACAAATACTTTCCTGTTGATGATTCAGGAACATTAATGCGAGACTGCTTTAACAGTACAGGTTGAAATAATTCCTCAACATTGTAAAGTTATATGATCGGTAGACAATAAGTCTTCTCTGGAGCAGTGTAGACTTCCTTACCCATTATTCATGTTGACATGCGAGAAATATTGATGGATTTAGACCCAGTGGTCTTTGTAGAGATTATTTATATACACATGGGTTTGACTTTCATCAGAATCAGTCACTGTGACAGAGGTCGATGTTGACTATTGTTACTGAATATTGCTTCCAGTAAATAATACTGACAAATGCACCAAGTAGAGGGAAATAACACTTCAAGACAGCCATGGAAGCTAGCTACAAGTCACACCCATGATTTTCAACTGCTGGTCGGAAAATATGACCAGACCTGTTACAAAGTCAGTTACCATGGAGACATAAGAATAAAATACAAATCTATAGGTATTATGTCTAGTAGGAAAGCCCCCAACCAGTCAGTGTAAAGGTCAGAAGTTATGTGCAGATACATGATATATGAGAGTGTTTTCCCACAATGTTTTTGACAAGTACCTATCAGACATAGTCAGATGTAAGCAAATATCTGTCATAAAGATTCCTATCCAAATCCCCAGAGCAGTATTCTATCTAATGCTGCTAGCAAAACACGTTTTGAGATCTCGAATCAAGGGTTAGAAAGGGGTCACTACAGACATGAGTTATCGCGGGTAATTAACATAATTCCTCATGAGCACAGCAAAATATACCTTTGACAGAAGTGGTGAAATGTTTTTTAGACACATCAGCATCACATGCCAATATAAAATGAGTTACCAACAATTGAGCGCAACTCTAAAAATATTTCTGTTTTTCTGGAGGCGTTTTGTTTTTTTATGTGGATGAGGAGAAAACAAGAACTTGAGTATTGAGTTTTATGTGGGTGAACTTTAGTCCATGAGTTAAGTATCTACCGAGAAGGACAAAGACTACAGACAAGAAATTAATGAATTTGAATTCATTGTATTCCAGCAACTGAATATTTTTGAAGTAGAGGAAATAAATTCCCCAGCACAGCATGTACCATCTGTACACAACAAGTCAGTTAAACAATAATCTATTTGTGATTGGTCCCCAACTCACAAGTGATTAATTCACACTGTAATCTGATTGATTTTTCTCTAATTGCTCTGCAAGAATGAGAGACACTGCCCTGGTAATGCTTATCAGGTTGCCCTACCAGGATGAGACATCATGCTCAATACCAAGTTGCTATGGCAACAGGGACTGTTAATAAATTACCCAGCCTATATTATCACCTGCTTTGTTACTGAGCAGCAGCTGTGTATATATGTTACAGACTGTTATTGACGACAGACAGTGATGGATGGTTGATGTGTGTATTTCATGTGTACAGGTCATAAATCATAGAATCGTCACACAGATCAGAACATCCAAATAGATATTTGAACAGGATTAAGGTAAGTTGGGAGTTGCTGGTGGGTTTATGATGAAATTACATGCACAAGTTGGGTTGATGATTGTTAATATCCTATGACGTTGGTGTATAATGTGTGTTGATTTCTGATGATGTACCAGTTGCCGTGGGTTAGCTTACAGTGATCTATCGGAACAAAGGATTGTGTGGATGTTGGAGAGATTCTTAGTTATACTCACAGGAGAAGGTCAAGCTTATTCAGGGGTTTAAAAAGTCTGAAAGAGGTTACCGGAGCTAGGGCAGGTATAAACAGACCTCTGACCTCCCCTGGCCAAAGCACCCATGAGGCACAGGGTGCACGATTTGAATGAGTTCTGTGTACTCGTCTGTTATCAGGAACATGCATTGGTGTACTAACAGTAGTTAGAGACTGGTCATTTATTATAGGGGAGGGGGTTGCGGTGACATTCTGAAGAATAGGACACAATGAAAGAAGGGAGGGTCGGCAAAATATGTGTACAGACCTAAGGCCAATCTCACCAAAAACGATTAGCCCATATTTTATTAAAAAATCTGTGAAAGGAGATTCAACATTATTCAAAACCTATTTTGACACGAAAATGTGTATGTACGGATCATTGAGTCTGGTAGAGAAGCATATTAGTGGCAATGGTCATCTTGGCAATATCTGTGTAATTACTAATATGGCACAGTCGACATTTGAAGTTATAGTTAGGCAGATTGAAATAATTTCAATATAATATGGCTAAAACAAGACATTTTACCTTCAGAAAATATTTCTGCATATTGACCTTGTTGCAACAATAACATGTCCTTTAAAACTTTTTGAATTTAAAAAAAAAAATGTCCTTTAATACAAAATGTAATTATAGATGGATGAGCAAATAATGGTAAAGTTGATCCACATACTAAAATATTAAGAAAATATCCGAACTATAATATGAGTTAGTTTTCTGTTTGCCGTCACCTATGAATACAGGTGTTTCAGCTACTGCCTGGTTAGGTGTGGGCTACCTGGCCGGCAGGTGATGGACACAGGTGATGGTGGGTTGCACAGCTGTTGGGGTTGGGGTCCTGGACGTACACCAGCTGTACAAAACCATGGCGTCACTACGCTGTGAAAACAGAGTCATCATGATACACTGTATATATTTTTTATTGAGAAAAGATCACAGTTTAGAGAGTCATGTTTGAGGTTTATCTTTAAAATATTGATGACCAAAAAAATGAATAAAAATAATGATGCCTTGAAGAATTTATTAATGAAGTAAATGTCAACCTCATGAACATTATTCTGATTGAAAAATGATATAATGAAAAATATGCAATATCTGTTACAGTCCCTTGGATGTTTTGTAGTACTGACTAATCAAATATGTTGAGACAAATAGGACTCATCCAAAATATGATGAGAAATATTGAGGTTGAAAATCATGTTTAGTATACATGATTACTGCTTATGTGAAACCCAGCAACCCAGTTGTGATGCAAATTGTGAAAGGCACAGAACAACTATGTTGACATTTCAGGCCTGACCAACTTATGTCCTGTCATGAGCACAGCAAAATAGACCTTGCCAGAAGTGGTGAAATGTTTTTTAGACACGTCAGCATCACATGCCAATATAAAATGAGTTACCAACAATTGAGCACAACTCCAAAAGTATTTCTGTTTTTCTGGAGGCGTTTTGTGTTTTTATGTGGATGAGGAGAAACAAGAACTTGAGTATTGAGTTTTATGTTGGTGAACTTTAGTCCATGAGTTAAGTATCTACCGAGAAGGAAAAAGACTAAAAGTTTGAAAGGCATAGAACAACTATGTTGACATTACGGGCCTGACCAACTTTTGTCCTGTTTATAGCTGAGTATGGATTTATTTTGTCACCTAAATGATGTCTTAATTGTAACCCTGATATCCTAGCTGTATCCCCAAATCTACCCTTTGAAAGAATCGAAATTTAACAAGGGACCTTTTTGTTTGTGTATCTAAACTGTATAAAGGTGACAACACTGCTGGTCTAACAGTGACGCTACAGAGGATATTTGATGTTTTCCTCAGCAGTAGGTATGCAGTTGTGTTTGTTGTTCAGTTTCGAACTTTGCGGGAAATAAGAATCAATGATATGACGTCTGCAGTGTTCGAAATTAGGGAAGGTCCTGGGGTCCTGGAGATGTCCTGCTGTAGTAATCTAAGGACCCCCTAAGTTTTCTTTGAGCATCAGCATGATTAGGGTTATGACAATGACCCCTTGACTTATATTCTTAATTTCGAGGGGCGTTTGGGTAGCCTAGTGGTTAAAGCGTTCACTCCTCATGCCGAAGGCTCAGGTTTGATTCCCCCCACATGGGTTCAATGTGTTAGGCCCAATTCTGGTGTCCCCAGCCATAATATTGCTAAAAGCAACATAACACCATATTCACTCGCTCACTCTTAATTTCGAACACTGAGCATCCTTTGTTTGCAGTGGACACTTTCAGCTTTGATTTCCCTTTCCTATGTCCCTTATGATAATCATGTGTTAAGATGTTTGAATTATTTATGAACTTTTTGTGATTTCAGGTGCAAGGCCTGGGTCTCAGAGCACGAACTGTTAAGTTCTGTGACAACATTTTCTGTAAGTACTACCACTATGAATCATTTTTACAATACGGCCAATGTGTTCACAATAGACTTTTGTGCAGTATTGTGCAAGTCACTAATTCTCCTTTGTCTAGAAATGTTACCTGTGAGGATTTCCAGAGCAGACTAGGTGCCCAGTATGCTTGTAATAAAGACTGATGACGATTGTGTGGATACAGTGTGTGACCTGCTGATTGTGTGTCATCATGCCCCCATGATTTGGATTGCTCATACTTTCAACCACTGGTTTGCCTGGCCCAGAGTTACTTGTTGTAATGCTGCCATGATATATCTTGTATATTGCTCAACATGGCATAAAGGAACATCATTCATTCTTGACACTGCTGATTAATGATACCATGAATGTATGTTTTTTTATAATTTGATTGTTAAATTTTACAAACAAGAAAATTGGGACATTTAAGATGTATGTTATTTTCATAGGCTTTGATTGTAAAATCAGGAATATTTGTTTCACACAAATATAATTTTGTCTTTCAGATTCAGGCACGTCATGGGTAAGTTGCTTCTTCTTGACTTATGATATCAAGAGATCATTATACATAAATGACATGAACAATAGGTATTCTTTATTAGAATGTTTTTAGAGTCATAGGCCTTAAAAGAGGTTTTACATATCCTTCTAAACTTAGCAATATGTAAAATATAACAGAACTCTGCACACAAAAATGGCGCAAGGCATCATTATCTAATTTACTGTCTTTATCATCGCATATTATTATTATTATTATTACATGGTCTCATATAATAAATTTAGACATTTATGATGGTTTTTTTCAACTTCTCTCCTTAAAATAATGTATGTGTCTTGTCTCCACAGCTGATATGAGAATGAATAAACTACAAGAAGGTCTACAACAGCAACGTCGCCTCATCGATCAGCTCCGCTGCGAGGCCCAGATCACGCGCATGAGGGTGTCCCAATGTATCGAGGACCTTGTCAAGTACTGTGACTCCCACACAGAGGATGACGTCCTCATTAAGGGATTCTGCAAGCCCAGTGACAACCCCTTCAAAGAAAAGGGTGGTTGCACCATATTATAGAGTTACCTCCCCATGGGAGGTAACTCTTGCATGGCACTGTGCCTGTCTTTGACTCATCAAGATCTGTCTCTTGTATTATGTGTAGCTCCAGTATTTTATGTATTTTTCTTTGTGTTGTGAGACCTGAGCTCCTGGGGCCATATCTGTGAGGGAAGTGCGTGTTCACTTTTAGTACGGAATGTGTCCACATATGGCCATTTTGCCTCATATGTATGGCCGACAGATGTGATTTATGGGACGTTGCAAAATATGATTTATGTCATTGAGCTACTCCTACTTATTTGATACTCTACAACACAGTTAGGACTATTTCTTGCAATGTTGAACAACTTTTACCATCATTATTTAACTACACAAGTATGAGGTTTCTCATCTGTCCATATATCTACATAAATAATTGTGTCCTACAAATAATGTTGAGATCTAACAATTTGCTAAACAATTGTCCATTGTTAGCTTACAGTGATGATGAAAAGGTTGCATTTATGTTTGTCATTTTTCGATATCTGTGGCAAACTGGAAACAACTTACCCGTCATTAACCTAGGCTTTCTCCGAAGTGGGATATGTTTGTGCACTGTAGTTCCTGGAGAGGCACTTTGGTAATCAAAGCATCATTTAAAGTCAGTAACATCTCATCATATTTACGTGAAATATGTGATTTTTTATTTTATTGAAACATGATTGAGTACATTCTACACAGTTCATGTCAAAAACGCTTTTACATCTTGATTCATCTTATTGTATAGTAAAGTAAATGTCTACATAAGATAAAGAGTTCTGTTTTCTGTGACATGGTGCATTATCCTTGTACTGGTACTCAATATTATTTCACATGCCCAAAGTACAATCAGGACGCAGTGTAAGTTTGATGGATGTAGTCAGTAGGAACAGTGTTAGCTTCCCATGTTGATGGCCCACTTCAAGTTTAATGCCACATTCAGCAATATACCAGCTCTATGATGACAGCTACATAATCTCATCTCAACCAGATGATCCAGTGATTGACAATGGACCATCGATCCACGCAATCGGGATATGATGACATGCAATCAACCAAGTCACTGATGCTGACCTGCTCCTCCATTTAGTCACCTTTTGTGACGAGTATAGGTTGATGGGGACCTATATTTTTACCTGGAATCCCGGGGGAACAGGTACTTGGGCCTGACAAACACACAAGGCATGTGGGGCTGTGGTAGGCACAATGGTTGTGCTTCTGACTTCATAATTTGATGTCTTTTAGCCACTCAGTGTGTTATGACTTGGAGGTAAAAGTTTAGAATATGAAGCCATTATTGAGATTACACTGCAACAAAAATCATGCAGGCTGATTCATGTGAAAATGAGTGAGTGGGTTATTTTTCACACTGCTTTCGGTTGCTAGGTTGGTTGGTTGTTGTTTAACGCAGCACTCAGCAATATTCCAGCTACCGGTATACCGGTATATGACGGCGGTCTGTAAATAATCTAGTCTGCACATGGGAATCCAGTGATTGAAATCGTGAGCATCGATCCATGGAATTGGGATACGATGACATGCATCAACCAAGACAGCGAGCCTGATCACCCTCTTACGACATGCATAATCGACTTTTACAGCAAGCATGGGTTGCTGAAGACGTATTCTACCCTGGGCCTTCAAGGGTCAACACTGCTTGAAACAGTATTTATTATTTTACTTATTATATCTCAATTTTGTGGGAGGAAAGCCCAAAGTGATATGGTTACAACTTTGGTGAAACCCATAACCCATAACAAACATAGAAACATAAAAAAGAGTGATTGTGTGTATCGTATTACGAAATGTGTGTCTGCATACAAACATTCTGACAGCACACACACACACACACACACACAAACACACACACACACAGTTCATAATAACTATGTACACACCAGTTTTCTTTGCAAAGTGACATTGATTAAACAACATTTTGAACAGAGATATAGTTGACACTTCGTCTGTCTGTCCTTAATCATTTCCTTTCTGGAGTGTAACTCTAAAACCGTTTTATATTTCTCAACAAAAGTTTGCAGATATTGCAAACAGATCCTGAAGTGGTGTCATTTGATATTTGCAGATTTTTGGCTTTTTTAATTTTCTCAATTTCTATGAAAACAATTTGGACTTTGTCTCAAAAGGAGGCAGAGAAGAGGGGGAGTGTCTTTTCCAGAGCACAACTTGATAACTGTGAAAGACTTTTCATCCAAACCTGGTACATGTATTGACCAAGGACTGGAGTGGTGCCTTTTGCTTTTGCGGAATCTTTCAAAATTCGATTTTTCACTGTTTCCATGGAAACAAGTTAAGACTTAGCTGAAACGGAGGTAGGTGTTGTTTCCAGACCAGAACTAAAAAAACACTATTCAACATTTTTCTTCCAAACTTGGTATTTGTATTAATCAAGGGCTGAAGTAGTGCCTTGTGCTATTTAGGAATTTTACAAAAGTTATTATTTCCTGTTTCTTTGGCAACAAGTTTGACTTTGACTCTGTTCATATTGGTGTGTTTGTCCGGACTATATTTCTAAAACTAATAGGTATTCTTTCCTGACACTTTGCACACACAAAGACCAGGTTGTCAAATGGTGACTTTTTCTACTTAGTGGTGTTTAGAATTTATATTTTTTTCCGCTTTCACAGCAGCAAGTTTGACACTGTTCATTGTGGGTAGTGCTTGTCTGGACAATATCTCTAAAACCAACAGGTACTCTTTCTTGAAACTGCACACACAAAGACCAGGTTGTCAAATGGTGCCTTTTGCTACTTAGTTGTGTTCAGAATTTATATTTTTTCCTTTTCCATGGCAAAAAGTTTGACTTTGACTCTGTTCATAGTGGTGTGTACCTGACATGGAAATACAAAGATCCGAATCACAATTCCACCGTATTGTTTTGATAGCTCAATAACTACTCTTGTATATGGACAGACAGATTAGATTGAAATTCTCTCATCAACTTGGACTTAAAAGTTATAGTCAGATGAACTGTTATTTCGAATTTGTGGGGCCTGGGGGGATTTGTCATCTTCTGATGACTCTTGTTCAGTTATGTCAAGGCGTGTCAGGTCTAAGTGGGAGGAAAGCCCCAACTCATTCCGATCTTAGACGTTTACCATGATGAAAAATGCTGTCGGGGTATTGTGCTGAAAAGAAGAAATCGGGGCAAGTCTGGATCTAGTACCCAGGGTCGTAGATTTCTGGTATGCCTGATGCAACTCATAGACATATTGCAGTGCCTTAGGCGACTGGGCCACACATCTGGTTAGGCAAAGGGATGCCATTAAACTTGTGAAAGAGTTGACTGGTGATATCTTTGGACATCAATATGCAACCAAACTAGGAGAATATTACACAACACACTTAGTCACATGTACAAGAAACCTGCATACTCCAGTGTGTGACATCTTCATTCAGTTAGGATAAACACCACCATAGATTTGTGTTGAGCCCTATTCGTATGCCACATGGCTAAGTATAGTTCACATTTCTGTCTTGGGGGACAGAAATTGAGCTGGAGGAGAGGTTTGAAATGAAGCTGTGTTGGTGGCTGGGTCCTGGGTATTGATCATAACAGAATGGAGATGACATACACTGGGGAACTGTCTGACAAATGTATCTGTGGGTGAATTTGTTTTTACTGATTGTAGTTATTGCCTAGTGTGAAAGAAAAAGAGTGACAACATTCGTTTTTCTCGCTCAGACCTCAATTAATTACAGGCTGCCATGATTTATTTAGTTGACTGCATCAATAAACTGCATGTACAATCAGAATCTCTCACCAACACCCGCACACTGAAGACACAGTTATTTCAGCATATGATATCACTGACCACTGTAAACTGGAAGGCAAGTACAGGGATGGAAATTGGTTGGCTGGTTGGTTGGTTTGTTGTTTAACGCCGCTCTCAGCAATGTTCCAGCCATATGACGGCGGTCTGTAAATAATCGAGTCTGGACCAGACAATCCAGTGATTAATGTCATGAGCATCGATCCACGCAATTGGGAGACGATGACATGCATCAACCAAGTCAGCGAGTCTGACCACCCGATCCTGTTAGTCGCCTTTTACGACAGCATAGTCACCTTTTACGGCAAGCATGGGTTGTTGAAGACCTATTCTACCCCGGAATCTTCACGGGTCTCTATCATGATGTCATCAATGGAAATTAGTCTACAAGCATGAATAGAGATAACATGTAACAACACCCATCCCAAAAGTTTGAAATTCTTCTAGCCCTTAGATATCTATTAACATTGCTAATTTCCATTCCTGAACTATTTTAAACAATGGTGTGTCCTTGTTTCAGATTATTTTTGCCAAACGATTGATGGTAAAAGTTAGTACTGTCAGTTATGTATTGTGTGTGGGATGAATAAAAGAAAACATATATATTCTGGAATGATGTTCTTATTTTGAGAGAGCCCTGGGCGCTTATTACGTCAAATACGTCAGTTATTTTTTTCGGTGATTGGTCAAATGAAAAATTAAAGACAGCTGACATTCGAAAATACATAAAATTAATCTTTGTAATCTACAGCAGATGCTATTAAAAAGAACATACTTTTAATATGAATATATTTTATGTCTGGATGGAGCTATTTGTTTTCATTTTGGGTGAAAACCAAATGGATATTTATATATAACTATTTGGTAGAATATTGACTTAAAATTGAAAAATATTCAAATAAGTGCATCAACTCAAAACATTATTTTTTCTAACTTGAACAATAGAATTTCAAAGTGAACGTGCACATGTCAGTTTGAGTTATCCCTTACTCCACACATTACTTTGCATGCTAAGCCAATCACATCAGCGAACCCTACACAGCACAGTGTTAGGAATTCTGGTTGATATTGAAAACATTGGATCGAGTCAGTTAACCGTATTCGACGTAATAAGCGCCCACGGCGATATTTGCTAATATATTGGCTAGTGAACAATCCCAATTAGGACCCTTCGCGTGTTATATGCACCCTTAATTACGGGAAATTCAATTCCGGAAAAATATATCTGGCGTGTCTAATATGCACAGACTTTTCTTTTGTATCATTTCAGGCTGTCAGCCTAAACCACAAACTTACGATCTTTCAACTCATTCACCAAAATTATATTCTAATAAGAGCCCCCTGTTTCTAATTTTGAGCGCCCCCTGGGCGCTTATTACGTCGAATACGGTACGTCCCTATACTGACGCGACCAAAACATAGCGACGACCAAACGACCCACTTTCGGGATTGCAACATGATCAGAAAGAATGATTCATGTATAACTCTGTGTTGCGACAACTATCTGTATATACCAATCGATATATAAAAAAGGATGTATACTTTCCATTCCACGTATCATTAACGATGTCGACTGCAAACATGAACCCGAAAATCGAAAGCCGGTCCGCCAGCGCACCTGCTGAAGAAAGCATCGGTGGAGCAACTTCTCTCAAGGAGGCGAAACAAAAATATGAATACTTCTGGAAAATTCACTCTCCTTACAGTCAGTGGTACCCAGTAAATTTCAAAGTCGATGGTCAGGAATACAACTGTGCTGAGCAGTACATGATGTACCAGAAAGCAGGTAGACTAATCTTAATTTTAAGAAATATTTTTACTGGTTTGTTGGAGGTGAGGTGAAATGGGGTTTAAAGTCACGTCCAAGATTATTGAACTTATATAGCGACGTGCATGTACGTGTGTGTGTTTGTGTGGCTGCTTGTACTACTAGTCCGGACTGATGCCGATTTATAGTGCTAGCTCACTGAGATACCATACCGCAGTTTAACATGAATATCCCACTCAGACACAGTATACTGACTCTGAGCCGAGCCGACCAGTCCTTGTTTTAGCCCCATAATGCCGAGCGCCAGACAGGGTAATAACAAGTACCATCTTTTAACATCTTTTGGTATGACGCGGCCGGGGATCGAACCCCGGACCTTCCGCTCTCCGGGCGGATGCTCTACCACTAGACCACGGAGGCGGTCTGGTTTGTTGGACCAGTTTGGCATTGTACAAAGTGCGAAAAACCATGTTGTTCTTTGGGTATAGGTTGAAATAAAGATTGCTTGATTACAAGTATTAGATCACTGTATTTATGAAAAAAACGACTCATGGTCGTTGTTTATCGTACCTTAAAACACTGCAGGAAGAATATACCATTAGGGGCACAGCCCCGAGTCATATATTCTCCCTGCAGTGTTTTATTGTACGATCGACCACGAGTCGTTTATTTCTTACATGATATATCAACATTCCGTACAGCCTCTTTGACTATGTTAATAAATTAGTAAATATTCACCCGTATTTAAGTAAAGATCACTCCATTAATGCAATCCAACCCCAGCAGTGTCGGACAAGTCCATCTTTCCACAGACTGTCATATCTCTCCCACATTTGTGTACAATTGTGTTCATCTGCAGTGCCCAGCTACATCTATGGGGAACCTCTCATTAACACTTGCATCTCAAAATTAACCCTGGTCAAGTTGTGAGCACATGTTCAGACCTCCAGAAATAATGTCATGATGGAACAGTGCTTTGTCATGAAATAAACCGTGCTTCCTTCTTCATTGTTCTTTGTGATTTAACGTGTAGCTATCTTATATTTAGTACACTGAATATACTTCGTAACTACTAATCTACTATCTTTACCCATACATCATGTCTATAGAGCGATTCTATACTAAATTAGATGTATTTACACAATTATATATCTGTTTTGGGCATGTCTTACTTTATTCTAGTCGAGACAGCCATGGGTCCCAATTGAATAAAGCTATCAAGCAATATCCAAAGGCTGGAAGAGGGAAAGTACCAAGTAACCTAAATACATCATCACAGAATTCATTTTCTACATCAACACATAGTGGAAGACAGCATGGCAATATGAGTGGTTTGGAGGAGTTAAGTTGTCAATGTGTACATGTTCTCCTCTACAAATTACGTCATCAGAACAAAAAATCTGAGATATTGAAAGTCCACATGTTTTGTTAATGATTGTCTTTTGTTGATATCAATATCTTGATATTTCTTCCATTCAAGTGCTGTTTGATGATAAGGAAATTGCTACGGAAGTTCTCAAGTCAGAGGATCCAAAAGAGCAGAAGTCCCTTGGTCGGAAAGTGAAGAACTGGGATGATGAAAAGTGGAACAAGAACTGCCACAGAATTGTAGAAGAGGCAAATGAAGCCAAGGTACTTAAATTATACTTAATTTCAGTCGTGATCATTGTTCATGCTGTCATTCAACCAATTGTTATCCTGGCCTTGGGTTGATTATGTCCAGCTGTTGTGATATTGCTGGTATCACTAGTACTGTGGCATAAAATAACATTCACTTATACCTCCTTTAAAGATGTCTCTGCTTTGGATGCTGCTGCTTTGGAACCCTGTAGGCATTCTGGGTTATTCTTGGTCCTGTGCTGGTCGTAAGAGGCTACCAAATTGATCAGGTGGTCAGGCTCGGTGACTTGGTTGATGGTGTGGTCGATCAGGTGGTCAGGCTCAGTGACTTGGTTGATGGTGTGGTCGATCAGGTGGTCAGGCTCTGTGACTTGGTTGATGGTGTGGTCGATCAGGTGGTCAGACTCTGTGACTTGGTTGATGGCGTGGTCGATCAGGTGGTGAGGCCGGCTTTGTGACTTGGTTGATGGCGTGGTCGATCAGGTGGTCACGCTCGGTGACTTGGTTGATGGTGTGGTCGATCAGGTGGTCAGGCTCTGTGACTTGGTTGATGGTGTGGTCAATCAGGTGGTCAGGCTCTGTGACTTGGTTGATGGTGTGGTCAATCAGGTGGTCAGGCTCTGTGACTTGGTTGATGGCGTGGTCGATCAGGTGGTCAGGCTTGTTGACTTGGTTGATGGCGTGGTCGATCAGGTGGTCAGGCTTGTTGACTTGGTTGATGGCGTGGTCGATCAGGTGGTCAGGCTCGGTGACTGGGTTGATGGCGTGGTTGATCAGGTGGTCAGGCTTGGTGACTTGGTTGATGGCGTGGTTGATCAGGTGGTCAGGCTTGGTGACTTGGTTGATGGCGTGGTCGATCAGGTGGTCAGGCTCGGTGACTTGGTTGATGGCGTGGTCGATCAGGTGGTCAGGCTCGGTGACTTGGTTGATGGCGTGGTCGATCAGGTGGTCAGGCTCGGTGACTTGGTTGATGGCGTCATATCATTTTTCGGACAAAATCTCTAAGCCAAATAGTAACAGAGAGGCTTTAAAGTAATGTACATACAATACATAATCTGATTTGTTTCAGTTTGGTCAGAATGGGCACCTGAAGAAACAGCTGTTTGCTACACACCCTAAGACTCTAGTGGAGGCCAGTCCGGTGGACACTATATGGGGGATAGGCTATGCAGAGGACCACATCAACGCCTGGGATGAGAGGAGTTGGAGGGGGACAAACTACTTGGGGCATGCCTTAACAAGAGTGCGGGAGAAGTTGATGAAAAAGGAGGGACTCATATGATAGCATGTAATGATATTTTTTTGGGGGGGGGGGGTTGTTGTTTAATGCCGCACTCAGCAATATTCCAGCTATATGACGGCAGTCTGCAAATAATCGAGTCTGGACCAGGCAATCCATTGATTGATATCATGAGCATTGATCCACACAATTGGGATCGATGACATGTATTAACCAAGTCAGCGAGCCTGACCACCCGATCCCGTTTGTCGCCTTTTACGACAAGCATAGTCGCCTGTTACGGCAAGCATGGGTTGCTGAAGACCTATTCTACCCCGGAATCTTCAGGGGTCGCATGTAATCATAAGTTTTGCAGTAGTACCTCTGTGGTACATGACCTCTTGTAGCCTCACGCTGTTCCAAGTATGAGACTGGCCTGAGACCATGGAACTTTTGCTTTACAAGAACTTTTGCTGTAGTACTTCTGCAGAAAATGACTTCTCTTAGCCACATGCTTGCTGCTCAAAATAAGAGACCAACTTGAGGTCATAATGACCACGGTTACAAGAGCTTTTTGAAGTGTTCTCAGGTGTCCAAACTCATGGCTTTTACCAATAGGTAGACTAACATTTAGCCCCAGAAATAAAGTTATCTTATTTAAAAATATAGATCTTCAAAATGAAAAATAAAATACAAATGAAGTCCAGAGACTGGGACGGGTAACTCGGGTACACGGGTCGGGTGGCTACTGAGTAGGACCCAGGTACCCACAGGACTATCCGGAGCTGTGGTTAGTCACGTGATATATTGTTTCATGACAAAAATTCACCATATAACTACATGGTTACACAACAATTTTAAGTCTCTGATGTTCACATTTCTTTATGACTATGAACAGGTTCCTTCTGACTTATATATGTTTGAACAAAGCTAAAACTTCAGTCAACTTCAGTGTATGCATGACCCAATCGTTTTCTACGTGTACCTAGACAAGGCTACTATTCCCAATCGGAGATTTTGTACCTATCTCTTGACACCAACAGCAGGTACCCGGGTAGGGTCAGGTAAGAGGGGTGTGGGTACCTGGGTAGTAAATTTGGACTCGTCCCAGGCCTAACACACATATTGTTTTTATTTTGGTGTTTGGATGTGCAGCACTAGTTTCAAACTGGTGGCTTCCATGCCAGACTATACTTAGAAATATATTTTGATAAAGTTCTCATTTGAAATGTGAAAACTCGACAAAGGAAGACCCTGGAATGTCTAAAAGATGGCCGGGATGTTCGATCACAGGACTCATCATACATAAAGATGTTACCATGCCTGGTGCTCAGGATTAAAGGGAGTTGGAGTCAGTATACAGTGTATCAATGTTGAACTGCAACATAATATCTCAGTGGGCTAGTATTATAAATCATGTATTAGTCTGGACTAGTACAAGCAGCCACACACATTCACATGTGCATGCACATAGCTATATGAGTGCAATAACTTTGAGCACAATGTTAAACCCCGTTTCACCTTACTCAATAGGACCTTAGTCAGCACAGGCAGGTATCCACACTGGTTCAAGTTTTGTTCACATGGCAATATCAAGACTCAGCCCCACCTGGTGGCAGGCATGAAACCTTTTTTTACCTATGCAAGTTGTTTCCATTTGCTTTTGACTTTGAATCAAAGTGTAATCTAATTTGTCTTAAACAAAACATAACTGACTCATCGAGTTGGAGGGTCCCACGGTCAAGTCGTCTAAGGTGCCCAAGTTAGCAGTGAAGAGTTGCATTCCTCTAGCATGCCAGAAACCAATTATCATAGGTTCGAATATTGGTTTGCCCTGATTTTGTTTCTAGGTTCGTCAGCACCATACCCAATATCCCGTGGGTTTCACCAAAGCATCACTCTGGGCTTTACTCCCACATCAAGATAACAGGCTGTGATAAAAAAACAACAACTGAAATACTGTTAAAAGCAGCGTTAAACCCAACTCACTCACTCAACGTGGTTGTCCCATTGTGATACAGCTGAAATATTGCGGAGAGTAACATGAAACGACAAACACCAACATACTAGTTCAGGAAAAACGGCAGCGGTGTCATTACAAATTCTTCATACCCCTCCCTAATATACTTTACATCATGTGGGGTAGCCTAGTGGTTAAAGCCTTTAGTTGTCATGCCGAAGACCTGAGTTCACTTCCCGACATTGGTACAATGTTTGAAGCCCATTTCTGGTGTTCCTCGCTGTGATATTGCTTGAATATTGCTAAAAGCGGGGTGAAACCATACTCACTCATGTCATGTCATTAATTGTTCTTTAAAATGTTTTCTATTTGAGAGAATAATTGCATCAGTTTTTGAGGCACGATTTGTTGTTTGGAGTCCGTTAATTTTTTATGGATGTCAAGTCCATTGGCATTTTCAACAAATTAATCACATTGTGTATTTGAAACATGGGCTCAAATATATATTCGTGTTTGAATCAAATCAATTGATTCCTTTTTTTCTTTGACAAACTGTGATAAATCTTGTCCCCAAAGGTTATTTGATCACAAACACAGAATAATAAGAACCAGATAACAGACATACTGAAAAGAATACTGCCTGTGAGTCTTGTCCACACTGTCCGGAGACCGTGAGGGCGCCCAACAGTCAAGACGCGACCCTGTTTTGTACTAATCAACTTGGTTGGGTGAAGCAGAAAGGCTTGGAGAACAGAGTTACTTCCCTTTGGGTTTTCCCCAAATCCGGAAGTGTCATAACTTCTCCGAAATACAGACGCGAGCAAGATCAGGTTTTTTTCGGAATAAATTTCAAAACAAATGATCGATTCATGTCTTGGAGATATCATGACTAATTTTTATAAATGTAACCCTACAATGTAGGACTGATAAGAAGCGAAAACTGATTAAAGTAACATTAACTGGTTCGATAAGAGAAAATGCGAAAGCGAAAATAGGATTTTGAGTCTTAGTGAGAAGCGTACTGTCCGCTAGTCTTCTTTTCATTACACACAAATATGGCCGCTGAAGACAGTTTTGAGTTATTCTCAAACGACTCGCCATTCAGCCTTCAATATGCAGCTCCATTCGCCATACAGGGGAAAACGTTCAACTGTGTTCTACAGTATGTTATGTATCGGAAGGCAGGTGAGATTAACGCTGAATCATTGTTCATGATTTATCAGTATCTTGTCTGTATTCGAAGCAATGGAAAGTCAAATGAAAAACATGCCTATACATGACCAAATTGGCTGATGTCCTTTGTGATTAGACATTTCGGTGTAACGAGATTAAAATTTTAAAGAAGAGCCAGTAAAATAATTGATTTAAATGTACATAAGCAGGTAGACAAGACCTTGTGGCTATTTGTAATACACTGGATTACGTTATTAGGCTGACACATTTAACTTCTTCGCGGTACAATTCTACACATCCGTTAAATAATGTTATGACATAGTCGCCCTTAAGGGATCATCGCAAAGTTCGCACTCTCCCGCAAGACGTAACGTCTTTAATACAGTGGATTGGTGGTCAAGTATGCCATTAATCTAGCATTTTTGTGATCGAATGAACATATTTATTAACTGCCTTCATAATTGCTTTAGTGTTTCAGTTTTGTTTTACCAAAAATCATCAACAGAAATTACATATTTGCCCTAATATATGAACCCCTTCAATAATAAATGTTCAGGACCCTGTAGTACGGTTCTCTCGTCACTGGTTGGCGTCTATTTTTACCAGCCACTAGGTCAATCTGATATGATAGGCAAATATGTTCAAGCAATTAACCCTTTTTGGGAAGCTTGCGAAAACCCCAGTCCCCTTCTATTCAAACCCTTAAACTAGCTATGAGGTGTTTATGAACAAATATCAAACTTAAAATGTGCTCACAAGACGGGAACTCAAAACAGGTGGCAATGCTGCATGGAATCAATTCAAAAACAATTGCCCTTCGAAGACCGCATTTTCCACTGATTCTGATAGCATAAGTACTTCATGTGATGCTAAACTGGCATGTTTGGGTTTTCATAGGTGACTAGACATGCTGAAGGGTCAAACGGTGACGGTGTGGTGACGTTGATAGTAAATTAAAATCTGGTCGAAAACAGTGGGTCCCTAAGAGTGAGGCGACTATGCTTGTCGTAAAAGGCGACTAACGGGATCGGGTGTTCAGGCTCGCTGACTTGGTTGATGCATGTCATCGATCCCAATTGCGCGGATCGATGCTCATTACATTAATCACTGGATTGTCTGGAGCCTGACCACCCGATCCCGTAAGTCGCCTTTTACGACAAGCATAGTCACCTTTTACGGCAAGCATGGGTTACTGAAGACCTATTCTACCCCGAAATCTTCACGGGCCTAAGAGTGATGTAACTGCGTATCACATAGTAAAAACGTAATATCAGTTATATACTCCACAATGACCGAATATGTGTTGATATTCACATACCTCTGTACGGAGTTTTGAACTGATGATCAGTTGGATATTTGTTTTAATGGTTTATCTGGAAACGAAAGTGAAACTCATAAATGGCTTTTCAGTAACGTGCTGCAACATGAATGTATCCTATTATCTTTTACGAAAATGATTTGCAATTTCTCTCTCTCCCTCTCTCTCCACACACACACACACACGCGCACACACACACACGCGCGCACGCACACGCACACACACACACACACACACACACACACACACACACACACACACACTAATTCTGTGGCAGGTAGTTACACCATGTTGTTGGTTAAAGCCCCTTCTGTGGATCGGGTGGTTACAATGTGGAATTTGGCTGATTCAGTTAACAGTGGCAGTTTTGATTTGTCCTTTCCTTGCTTGAAACGGTAATTTGATAAGTGTTTAATTCATGACTGAAATACCGTTCTCTCTTCATGGACCGCGTTGACAGATAGTATACCCATTTTATAAGATATCCTTTTGAAGGATGGACACAATGGATGTGGTGGTCAGACACGATCACTTGGCTTCGTACCCCGACGGCGTGGATCATTGCTCACAATGTCAGTCACTGGTTGCCTTCATACACTTGGGATGTATTGAGTGTGGCCGAAAACAACAAACAAACAAACTTGAATATCCAAATATCGCTCAAATTTAAGGTGTTAAGAGAAAAAACATTTAGAACCTTATCAACCAATTTAACGACGGTACAAACTGAGTACAAAGAATATGCTTTATATATAATATACAGCTCGGGTATAATATAGTCTCTTACATGTTTAATCATGCTAGATATATGTTGGTCACCCATTTGATTTCCATTTACAGTTGATGTAAGTATTTAATGCTGATACTTAAACGATAACTTCCTTTAAATATGTCAGAGTGTGAGTGTTCTTTTACAAAAATCTTATATGTCTTTGGGTGTATGATTTGTGGAAAACCAACTATCATACACTTGTATCAATGTTTATTGAGGCTTCGATGTTTTTTAACAACATGTATTTTTGTTCATTTCTCTATATAATATAATAAAGGTATGTGACTGGGATCTGACGCACATAGTATGGGTGTAGGTGTAAATTAGAAAACCAGATAATCACCAAGTATATAATTATGGGAATCAAATCCTTTTAACATATATTTTACTTACCTCTGGTCTAATTTTGATATTATTAATCCCCATATTAATTGGTTAACAAAACAAGGTTAACCATCACTGTAAAGTACTAGTTATGGAAAAATGGCTTGTCTCACATATCATAACATATAAGTGTTAACAGGCGAGCTATGATATACATTAAGTTTATACCCCAGTGTGATATCTGACAAAGTCATAGCTATAGATATTTTTTTTAAATTAATGTATCATTGGTACACACCTCTAAACTTATCTAAACTGACATACATTTTCTGTACTTTGGACATGAATCATGAATGTCGTCAAATTGAAACAATCTAAGTGACGTGATCAAATTCAGCCGTCTCTATAGTAACATGTTCACTATACAAACTCTAATATTTCAATACAACATATACAACAGGTACTTCTAGATTTTGTTTTGAAATCGGTGATAGTTAATCACTTTGATACATTGGTAATCTCTTGGTATATTATCAAAAAGGGTATTACACATATTATTAATATAGTTTTGGAAAGCTAAGACTTGCTATGGCTAAAATGAACGAATGTCGCAGTCAAGGGAGTCGTTCCTGAATGTAAGCAAACTCACGTGTACATTTAACTCCTACTCAACCAACAAGTAACAACATCAATTAATATAACACAATTCTGTTCTCTGTATACACTGCATTGTGGAACCGACAATCTGTATTTCCCACATTTTTAGACAAATGCGTATTGCCAGTGTTCGAAATACCTGCCTGCCCGACCGTCCGAGACGGGTTGATTTCAACTCGGGCTGCCAGATTTTCAAATCCCCCTGCCCGACGGTCGGGTTATATTTCATATATGAAAATATTCTAAATATTTCCCGATGATAAGCATTAATTCACATGTAAAGATGAATGATAAAATGTAACCAAAAAGAAACCCCGTTAGCTTATCCTGAGAAACATATGATTATAGTGGGCAGGCAGGTTTTGGTCAGGGCTGGCAAGTATTTCAGCTAGCCAGTCCTGTGGTCTGGCTGAAATTTTGGGGAGTTTCATACCCTGGTATTGCCAAAATTAATTTAAATACTCGTGATTATATTGATCGAACTACCCATATCCTGACGCGCATTCTGATTGGCTTGCGCGGTTTCTACGCATGGCTGCCTTCGAGATTGAGAAGAGCCTTGTTGAAGGTTACGGAAACATGCAAGTGTTGACGTATGATGCCAATATATTGATATATGGTCTCTGATTTGAGTTAGTAGAAAAAAACACAAAGTGGCATTTGAATGAATCAAGCCTGCTCGTGTCTGTCCAGGCGTGGCTGTCGTATACATTACAGCCACAATAGAATGTTCGCACACATGGACAAGTCGGGTTTTTTTCAATTCCATTGTATTATTTAGCTTTGTTTATATACCATCCAACGCGTAAAAAGATAGGTTTGTCGCACGAGGCGTCTTAATGGATAACGTCACGCCGAAGACCCGGGTTCGATTCCCGACATGGGTACAATGTGTGAAGCCCATTTATGGTGTCCCCCGCCGTGATAGTGCTGGGATATTGCTAAAAGCGGCGTAAAACCATACTCACTCACACACTTAATGGATAAGTTTGATCAAGCTCGGTGACTTGGTTGATTGCGTACCATGGCATCGTAACCTAAATGCGTGGATCGATGCTCATGATATCGGTCACATGTTTGTCTTTGACCAGATTTGATAATTTACAGACCGTGGTCATATAGCTAGAATATTGCTGACCTATCCAGCCCGCACGTCCCACGAGACTGGTCTTTTCGAAGTCGGTCGGTAAACCCTATTACCACTTTTGCCTTCGAATGGGATTTACTCCCAGGGGATTCCGGGCCAGGATAGGTCCCTAGTACCCCAATCTATGTCGTTTAAGATTAAGCGGTATCATCTCAAAACGTCTACAGCTCACAGCAACAAACTATATGGCCCAGTGCACAGCTAATCCCCTGCCTAAATGCTTCTTTAGGATTGGGGGGCACGGGTGGCCCAGTCGTCTAAGGCGCCGCGATTCGCTGTGCAGAGTTGCGTCCCTTTTGCATGCCAGAAACCTATGATTGTGGGTTCGAATCCCGGTTCGCTCCAATTATGTTTCTAGGTTTGTCAGCACGATACCAGTGCTCATGGGTTTCATCGAAGTGGTAAACGTCTGAGACCTGCATCACTTCGGGCTTTCCTCCCACATTAAGCTGACACACCGTGATATAACTGGAATACTGTTAAAAGCGGCGTTAAACCAAACTCACTCACTCACTTTAAGATTGATCGTTCTGATTATGTACCAAAACCTCTATACAAGAACTAACACGAGTTAAATGATGACAAGAGTAAATTTATCAAAAATCACCGTTCATAGTTCACTTATATTAGTGACATATATATTTATTCATTACTTTTTTGACAATATGTCCCCAAACCATTTTAAAAGCACTATGCCCTTCAAAGAAGAAACACTAAATCAGATCTTAGTTCTCGCTACCCCGAAACAAAGATCTGAGGACATCCCATTACGGGTCACGCCAGAACGACCTTTTATCGCTTACCAGATCAGGAAAGTGACAGTCGTAATGTGTTTTCTAATCGCACTCGAAGGGCTTCAGCACAGGGTATTCCGAACGACAGTTACGGGTTGTACGACTGATTCTGTCAAAATGACGGTCTATCTCTCGCTTCAATCGGATTAACATTTGAGACTAGAAGAGATTTTCTTTAGCCAGTGGGATGCTCTACCATACATTCTCGGCCAATTATTAGACAGAGGTTTTTTTTGTTCAGTCTTTAAGTTTTGAATCGATATTTTTCAAACTAGTCTGCAATGGAAATCACCAGTTTGAAAGTACATGTAGTACCGTAAAGCCCCGAGAGAGCTGCTTTCTGATTGGCTAATGTCGACTTCTTGTTACTCAGTTCATTGGTCATTCAAAGTTCGCGAAAGGTCGTTCTGACGTTACCTGTAATGGGATGTCATCAGATCTTTGTTTAGCAGTTGGGAGAACTAATATATAATTATAATGAGATTGCGGGACAGTTTGTGATGTATCATTCATTTTGAAAATTAAAGCACTTCTTTTGGTATTATTTCCAACAGATTTATTCAAGGACAAGGAACAGACGATCGATATCATGGGAACAAACGATCTAAAACAAATAGAACGCTATGGAAATAATATCCGCAACGTTGATACACACACTTGGAACAAGGAAAGGATTAAAGTTGCTGAACTCGCCCTCCAGGAAAAGGTGAGAACTGAAGTGTCCACACCTCGATTATTCTGTGTATCACATCTCTATTCTATTATTTATGATAATAAAATAGTACAATGTAGAATAATAGAGGGGTGATTTGATACACTGGATAATTAGGGATGAAATTCCCAATGATTGTACAGTGGTTAATTGCTGGCCAAATACAGACTGGGTGAATGAGTTTTGAAGTTGGTCCGCAACAAAAATATCTGTGTAACACGTCACCCTTTGTTGTCAGTTCACACAGAATCCTGACTTGAAGGAACAGCTGCTTGCTACATTCCCAAGAACACTGGTGTATGCCACTACTAAAGACAGGTTCTGGAGTATTGGTCTGTCTGAGCAAAACCGTAAAGCTTGGGTCATGAAGGAGTGGAAAGGAGATAACGTACTTGGTTTTACTCTTACTAAAATCAGGGACAAACTGATGGAGAACAGGTTGGAGGAGGGTGGCGATGGTCAAGATCAAAGGGTAGAGGGACAGGTGAGCCGAGATAGCATGAGACAGGATGGGATAGGGAACAGCCATGTAGAAGAGGGACAGGTGAGCCGGGATAACATGAGACAGGGTGGAGGGGGGAACAGCATCGGGGCCGGGGAACAAGCGAGCTGGGATAGCAAGAGACAGCATGGAATAGGGAACAGCCATGTTGTAAAGGCACACACGAGTCTGGATAGCAAAAGACAGGGTGGGATAGAGAACAGCCATGTGGTAGAGGGTCAGGTGAGCCGAGATAGCGTGAGGCATGGTACAATAGGGAACAGCCATAAGACAGAGGGACAGTTGAGTCGGGATAGCTTGAGGCAGGGTGGGATAGGGAACAGCCATGGGTTACAGGGACAGGCGAACCGTGATCGCAAGAGGCACGGTAGGAAAGGGAACAGCCACCGGGCAGGGGGAGACACGGTCCGGGATAGCATGAGCCAGGATGGGGGAGGGAACAGCCATGTGGTAGAGGGACACGCGAGCCGGGGAAGCTTGAGACAAGGTGGGGGAGGGGCGAGCCAAAGGACGGAGGGGAAGACGAGCCGGGCATACCAGGAGCAGGGTGGGGATTCGAAAGACCGCGGGGTAGAAGGGCCCACGTCCCAGAGTAGGTATAGACAGGGCGTGAAAGGCAAGAACCAAGACTTAGAAAGACCAGCGACCCATGGAAGTTATAGGCAGGATGGTAGAGGTTGGCGAGGGCTAGAGGTGGGTCACAGAGAGAACAACGACGGTTGGGAGGACCAAAATTGGAGAGATCGCTCAGAGGTAGAGTGGGAAAAGAGAGGACAACCAGTGACAGAGGCAGGAGAATACAAAGAGTCAGAAAGGAGGTCGGACTGGCAGAAAGTTACCGAAGAGATGCCACAATTAGAAGAAACCGAACCAACGTCTCGTCCAAAACGAAAAATGACACAAGAGCAAACAGATTACAACTGGAACAAACATGGAAGAAGAAACATGGGTCTAAAACACACCAAAACATCCTACACAGAAATGCCTAACCAGGACAAATTCATCCTTTTTTTCGGCAACCAATCGCCATTCAGCCAACATCACCCAGCCACCTTCACCATAGACGGAACAACGTTCAACTGTGCTGAACAGTACATGATGTATCAGAAGACAGGTAAATACGACATATTCTGTTCTTCTGAAACAATTTCATTTCACAAGTTACATTTACAGTTTTTGAATCAGGAATCATTTAGCTGTATTCAACATGTGTCAGTCCCTGTATTCAACATGTGTCAGTCCCTGTATTCAACATGTGTCAGTCCCTGTATTCACTGTCCACCCCCAAACAAGTGTTGACTTGTGGTTGCAGTTATATTCGAAAACAAAGAAATGGAACGGAAGATCATGGATACATCTAACCCTGTGCAACAGAAGCGATACGGTCGGCAGATTCCAGAATTCAAATTCGAAGTATGGAAGAAGCACTTCATAGAGGTCGTTGACCGGGCCACGGAGGCTAAGGTTTGTTTAATGTTCATACAATGGTCCTCTGAAGGCGAAAATTACCGCAACTTGTTGGTTTAGGAATAAAACTAACATGGAATGCTAGGCTCATAATAAGCACTGCCAGGATCCGGCAGATTTGTCCTATTATGACCCTTGGTTTGTCAGTGCGGTCTAAGTGAGTGAGTGAGTGAGTATCGTTTTACGCCGCTTGTAGCGATATTTCATTAATATCACGGCGGTGGACACCAGAAATGGGCTTCACACATTGTACCCATGTGGGGAATCGAACCCAGGTCTTCGGCGGGGCAAGTGAACGCTTTAACCACTAGGCTATCCGAACATTCAAGTGGGTTGAGATAAAGGCATCACGGCTGTTCGGTATTATAACTGGAAACTTGTTTATATGTCTAACATATTTAATGTATTTTGTATACCCATTCTAGCTCCATGGGTACCGGTGTACAATGTGTCGCCAGCACTCCCATTGCTGATCGTAAGACTAAACTGAGAACACATAGTTATTACGGGTTAGAACTGTTCTCGAGAAGTGGTTGTGTGAGGCCACTAAATGGATCGTGTAGATGATGGCGTGTCACCGTACCCAAATTGCGTGGATCGTCGTTTTTAGTATGAATCACAGGATTGTCTGGTTGTGATTAGATTAGTTACAGCCTGACGTCATGTAGCTTGGATATTGCGGCGTTAAGCAACAAACTTAAATACACTACCCATTCGTAGATGTCATCGTGATAATGTTAAGGCTAAAGAAGTGAAGAAGACGTTCCACAAACACTATGGTGTCACTGACCAAGGTTGTTTTCAAATCTGTGACAGCTGAAGTCTTTTACACTCATTATCAAGCAACAAAACCATATGTTTTCCAGTGCCACCTTAAAAAACCTGGAAAAGACCGCTTACTATATTTGTGTATGTTATAATAAAGATGGCCAGAAATAATATACAAATACACAAAAGTTAAGCGCCACCATATTCAGTCTCATAGTTTCATGAACCCAAATTTGTCCAGATACCAGAAGGAAAGAGTGCTTTACATGTTGCTGCAGTTCCCCTACCCTATAAATAGTGAAATTTAAGTTTCAGACACGTGGTTGCATTTTTCTCCTGTGTGAGATTCCCCTTCCAATAGAGGTTGAAAATCAGCCAAGGTGAGGAGAAGTTAACGAACGCTAAAAGATGGCAAGTGATAGGCATGAAAAATGCTGGCATGTCATGAAGGGCCATTGCAAGACAAATGGGTTGTCATCTAAGTGTTATCACTCGTTTGATTGTCAAACATGGTCAAACCAATGATGTCAATGACAGGCATATGTCTGGTAGGCCAAGAAATACCTCTAACAGAGAGTATAGACGTCTTTTCAGGATAGTCAGACAAAATCCTTTTGCCACTTCAACAGATTCAAGACTGCAGTTCATTACCCATTAGAGACACTCGACGATGACCGTAAGGCGTCGCCTCAGAGCGGCTGGTTATAACGCCAGAAGACCAGTAAAACGTCCTCAGCTGACTGAGAGGCACATGTGGAATCGTCTGATATGGTGTCGTGCCCGTAATCGATGGAACTTGGCCAACTGGAGAAGGATCCATTGGTCTGACGAGTGTCGAATGCTGCTACGAACTGTTGACGGTCGAATACGTGTTTGGAGGCAACACTCGTTTTGCACCAAGGAACATCCAGAAGACCTTAGCATGTGGCTGGGGGTCTGTCATGATATGGGGTTGTGTTTCCTTCAGCTGCAAACTTCCGCTGGTGACAATTCGTGGAAACCTGAATGGCCAACATTACCAAGATGCCGTTCTTCATCCAGTGGTAGTCCCTCATTTTGACAACCATTCTCTTCAGACAAGACCTGTTTACATGGAAGACAATTCTAGACCACACAGATCTCGGGCAGTTTTGGCTTAATTGCATCAAGAAGCTATTGCCACTCTTCCTTGGCCGGCCTGTAGTCCAGATCTTAATCCGATTGATCATCTCTGGGACATTCTTGGCCGGAAAATCAGACATCATGATGCCCCATTTCAAAATCATGCTGGACTTGAAGCCGCACTTCATGAAGAATGTATCCGTTTGCCTCAGAGAAGCATTCAACGACTTGTAATGAGTATGAGGCGTAGGGTTGAAGCCGTGGTCAATGTCCGTGGATCATACACACGTTACTGACGTTTCTCTCTTGCAATAGACTCTGCACTCCCTAGGGTGTCTCTGTGACACCTGATATGGTCTGCTGATATCATGACAGTTACATGACAAAAAACAAAGTTTTTCAATGTTTTCTAATCCTTCAATTTCTGGTCTTCGGTAAAATTCCTTTCTGCTCATATTCTTTTGGACCACAAGATAAACTTGCTTTGGGACAACTTTTGCATCACATGAGGTTTACATATACGGCTTATAACAATCGTACATCTCGTTATAATAGTCATCATTAAGTGCCAAAAGAAACAGCTCACAAATATGGTGGGTGGCGCTTAACTTTTGTGCATGTGTATATTATGGTGTCACTGACCACTGTTTTATTCATATGAGGCTTACAGACTTTTGTGTTACAGACTCAGTTTCATGGAACAAATTACATGCTGTACAGTGATGTAGAATACAAATGTTAAGTAAACGCTTACTATTCAACTATGTATTAGATAGCCATTTTATGTTAGTTTCTTTGTCATTTCAGTTCTCTCAGAATCCACATTTGCTGGAACACCTGGTCGCCACGCATCCTAAGCTGTTGGTGGAGGCGAGTCCATCCGACCGTTTGTGGGGAATAGGGCGTGGCCAAAAAGACCCCTTAGCCTGGGACAAGGAAACATGGCGGGGCAAAAACCAACTGGGCTATATAATTACCCGAGTGAGAGATAGACTGATGAAGGTGAAGGACACACACTGGGAGGAATGGGAGAAGTGGAAGGACGACAAGAGGTGGGAGGAAGAGGAGGCGAGGGAGAAGAGGGAAAAGAGAAGATGGGAATTGGATCCTTACGGAGGACGTCACGAAGAAAGGACTCCTAAAACGAAACGCCAGGGTGACGGGGTGCACGATGGTAGCATGATGCTAATGAAGGAAGATGGCATGACTTCCCAATCCAGACGTGAATCTTACAAACATGTGTCTGGGAAAGAAAATTTTGAATTTTTCTGGGGCATCAAATCTCCATTTAGCCAACTTTATCCTGCCAGTTTCACGATCAATGGTCAAACCTTCACCAGTGCTGAACACTTCACACTGTACCAGATGGCCGGTGAGTAGTTGGATGTTATCCAGGGCTGTAGAGATGTAATAGCGATGCATCAGATCTTCGTTGCTCTGTATAATGTGATAGAATTGTATGAAAGTATATTTTCAAGACAAGTGTCAATGTATTTAAAACGGGAAAGTGGTCAGTTTAGCTTTTGTGATGTTAGACTACCTGGTGTATTGTATGATCATTATCAGCACTGGATCATTTTGATGAGTGATGCGTGCAATTGTAGATTCTTTCAAATATCCAAATTGATCTTATCAGACTGAAGTGCTCTAACTATTATTGCATTCAATATGAATTTTAGTCCTCTATCTTGATATAAAGATGTGCTCTAACTTTCTGATTTGAAGCCCTACTGCGTTTTAGCAAACTGGAAGTGACATCGAATGTGCATATATCTTTCTCAGATAGAACAGCTAGAATCATGGAGTTATGTTGAGAGTTTTTTTGCCATTGTGACACAATTGACCGGCGTTTCCGTAGCATTGCCAAATTTGGACAGAATTTAAAGAAACAGATTTTAAAGTAGCCGTGGTTATCATGTTATGTGCCTGTATTTTCAGTGATATTTGAAGACCAGGAATGTCAGGAGAAAATCATGTCAACCAGTGACCCCAGTGAACAGGACCGCTATACATATGACATCCAGAACTTCCAATGGAATGTATGGGAACAGAAATGCGTACAAGTTGTTGAACGCGGCATAATGGCCAAGGTGAGAGAACCATATTGTACCATGATGGTATTGGGATTCTACAACCTTTTCAAGGGCATTCTAACCATAATATCAACCTAACAGAAATGACGAACTGGTTCTTTTTCTATTTGAGCTAACGACTTACAGTCTATTTTGAAAATGAAACGATCTCAAATGAAACAGATTTATTGTTTCATTTACTGTTTATCTTCAAGTATTCTTTTCAATATTCTACAGTATATGGCTCACGATTTTCTTGTTGTTTCCCCAGTTCACTCAGAATTCCGAGCTAAGGGGGCAACTGTTCGCCACATACCCAAAACTGTTAGCTGAGTGTAAGTATGATGACGACTACTGGAGTACTGGGTATGGTCTCGGATTTGCAAAGAGGAAATCCAAAGCATGGGACACAAATAACTGGAGAGGGGAGAACGTACTGGGCTACACTTTGACTGCTGTGAGGGACAGACTTATGGAGAAGGAGAAGGGGCAGAAGGGACAGACGGAATTGGATGTTGAAGATGTGAGGCTTCAGGGCACGATAGAGGGTGATGGGGCACATCTTGATAGGAAGATTCTTGTGGAGGAAAAAGGCAGAACTGGGAAAGAAGCTGCAGTGGTCGGAGAAAATGGGGAAATCCAGCAAGATGTTATGACAGAAAAAGAAGAAGCAAATGTGGAAATACGAAGAAGTGATGCGGATGTTGAAGAAGATGAAAGCAAACCACATAAAGAACAGGATGTGAGGGAGAATTGGGACAGTGAGAAGGAAGAGGTCACAGTGGGAGGAAGTGAGTTGAGAGACAACGAAGATGCTGATACAACATTGGCTGGTGACAGGAACGTGATGGAACAGCATCAGAGAGCAAGGAACAGTATGGGAGAGGAAGGAAATAATGGGTCTGTCCCATTAGAAGGAGAAGATGATGGAACAGAGGAAGAAGGTGTAGTTGGGCTTGACAGTACAGATTTGGCCGAGGGAAACGTGGCGGAACAACAGAAACTCCAGAAGAGGATTGGAGAAGAACTAAAAAAGGAGGAAGAGGTCACGTCATTAGCAGAAGATGAATCATCGACTAAAGAGAAGAATGAGGAGGAGGGTGAGAGTACTGAGAACGAAGAAGCGGAGAGATTGGAGAATGGTTGCATTGGAGAAGAGGTTACATTGGTCAAAAGTGATGTTGCAGAGGATGATAACGTAGATGCGTTAAACAGCACCAATGAAAGGGCCATGAACACAGAGGAACAACTGGAAGTAGCAGGGAAGACTGCAGGAGAGGTAGCTACGATTGAAGAAGACAACAAGGTGGTTCCAGAAACTGATACACTGGAAGATGTTGTTGACAGAGTTGGGGAAGGTGGAAAGGAAACACTGGATCAACAGGAGGGTGTAGGTGAGAGAGTGAATCAAGAGGAAGAGGTCACACAAGTACCAGATGAAGAAACATTTGGGGGAATGGAGCGCGACGAAATGGAAAAATCGGAGATGCTGGGGACAGAAAAAGAAGTTTTGAGAGAGGCAATATCGGTTCCAGAAGGCATGGAAAGAGATGCCGAAGGAGGGAGGACGGTTATGGAGAGGGTGGAGAAGGAAAGTAATGATACAGGGAAGGACGTTAAGACAGAGGAAGAGGTAACATCTCCAGAAGGCACCGAGAGAGATTGCAAAGGAGGGGTGAAGGCTAGGGAGCGAGTGGAGAAGGAAGGTAATGATGCAGGAAAGGAAGTGAAGAGAGATAAAGAGGTACCGTTTGTGGAGGGAACCAGAGTTGTAGATGTTGAAACACTGGCAGGGGGAGAAAGAGATGGGGACGATACAAAGAAAAATCCGGAGAAAGTGAAGAGTGAACAGATTGATATGGATGTGGAAGATAGCATGACTTCCCAATCCAGATGTGAATCTTACAGACATCTATCTGGGAAAGACAATTTTGAATTTTTCGGGGACATCAAATCTCCATTCAGCCAACATTATCCTGCCAGTTTCACGATCGATGGTCAAACCTTCACCAGTGCTGAACAGTTCACACTGTACCAGATGGCTGGTGAGTAGTTGGATGTTATACAGGGCTGTAGAGATGTTATAGCGACAGATAAGTTCTTCGTTGCACTGTATAATGTGATAGAATTGTATGAAAGTATATTTTCAAGACAAGCATCAATGTATTTAAAACGGGAAAGTGGTCAGTTTAGCTTTTGTGATGTTAGAATACCTGGTGTATTGTATGATCATTATCAGCACTGGATCATTTTGACGAGTGATGTGTGCAATTGTAGATTCTTTCAAAAATCCAAATTGACCTGATCACACTGAAGTGCTCTAACTTTCTGATTTGAAGCCCTACTGCGTTTTAGCAAACTTGAAGTGATGTCATCACATCGAATGTGCATATAACTTTCTCATATAAAACAGCTAGAATCATTGAGGTATGTTGAGAGGTTTTTTTTAATATTGTGACATAAATGATCGGCGTTTCCGTAGCATTGCCAAATTTGGACAGAATTTAAAGAACCAGATTTTGAAGAAGCCATGGTTATCATGAAATGTTCCTGTATTTTCAGTGATATTTGAAGACAAGGAATGTCAGGAGAAAATCATGTCCACAAGTGACCCCAAGAAACAGGACCTCTATACCTATGATATCCCGAACTTTCGGTGGGATGTATGGGTACAAAAATGCGTACAAGTTGTTGAACGCGGCATCACGGCCAAGGTGAGAGAACCATATTGTGCCATAATGGTATTGGGACTCTACGACCTTTTAAAGGGCATTTTATCTATAATATCAACCTAACAGAAATGACGAACTGGTTCTCTTTCTATTTGATCTCACAACTAACAGTTTATTTTGAAAATGGAATGATCTCAAACTAAACACATTTATTGTTTCATTTACTGTTTATCCTCAAGTATTCTTTTCAATATTCTACAGTATATGGCTCACGGTTTTCTTGTTGCTTCCACAGTTCACTCAGAACTCCGAGTTAAAGAGGCAACTGTTCGCCACGTACCCAAAACTGTTAGCTGAGTGTAAGAATGATGACGACTACTGGAGTACTGGGTATGGTCTCGGATTTGCAAAGAGGAAATCCAAAGCATGGGACACAAATAACTGGAGAGGGGAGAACGTACTGGGCTACACTTTGACTGCTGTGAGGGACAGACTTATGGAGATGGAGAAGGGACAGAAGGAATTGGATGTGGAAGATGTGAGGCTTCAGGGCACGATAGAATGTGATGGGGCATATCTAGACAGAAAGATTCGTGTGGAGGAAGAAGGCAGAACTGGGAAAGAAGCTGCGGTGGGAGGAGGAGATGGGGAAATCCAGCAAGGTGTAAGGACAGAAAAAGATGAAAGTAAAGAAGCAGATAAGGAAATACGTAGAAGTGATGCGGATGTTAAAGAAGATGAAAGCAAACCACAGGGAGAACAGGATGTGAGGGAGAATTGGGACAGTGAGGAGGAAGAGGTCACAGTGGGAGGAAGCGAGTTGAGAGACAACGAAGATGCTGATACCACATTGGCTGGTGACAGGAACGTGATGGAACAGCATCAGAGAGCAAGGAACAGTATGGGAGAGGAAGGAAATAATGGGTCTGTCCCAGTAGAAGGAGAAGATGATGGAACAGAGGAAGAATGTGAAGTTGGGCTTGACAGTACAGATTTGGCCGAGGGAAACGTGGCGGAACAACAGAAACTGCAGAAGAGGATTGGAGAAGAACTGAAAAAGGAGGAAGAGGTCACACCATTAGCAGAACACGAATCATCGACTAAAGAGAACCGTGAGGAGGAGGATGAGAGTACTGAGAACGAAGAAGTGGAGAGATTGGAGAATGTTTACATTGGAGAAGAGGTTACATTGGTCGAAAGTGATGTTGCAGAGGATGATAACGTAGATGCGTTATACAGCACCAACGAAAGGGGCATAAACATAGAGGAACAACTGGAAGTAGCAGGGAAGACTGCAGGAGAGGTAGCTACGATTGTAGAAGACAAAAAGGTGGTTCCAGAAACTGATACACTGGAAGATGTTGTTGTCAGAGTAGGGGAAGATGGAAGGGAAACACTGGATCAACAGGAGGGTGTAGGTGAGAGAGTGAATCAAGAGGAAGAGGTCACACAAGTACCAGATGAAGAAACATTTGGGGGAATGGAGCGCAATGAAATGGAAGAATCGGAGATGCTGGGGACAGAAAAAGAAATTTTGAGAGAGGCAACATTGGTTCCAGAAGGCATGGAAAGAGATGCTGAAGGAGGGAGGACGGTTATGGAGAGGGTGGAGAAGGAAAGTAATGATACAGGGAAGGACGTTAAGACAGAGGAAGAGGTAACATCTCCAGAAGGCACCGAAAGAGATTGCAAAGGAGGGGTGAAGGCTAGGGAGCGAGTGGAGAAGGAAGGTAATGATGCAGGAAAGGAAGTGAAGAGAGATAAAGAGGTACCGTTTGTGGAGGGAACCAGTGTTGTAGATGTTGAAACACTGGCAGGGGGAGAAAGAGATGGGGACGATACAAAGAAAGATCCGGAGAAAGTGAAGAGTGAACAGATTGATATGGATGAGGAAGATGTTGGTGTTGAAGATGCAGGTGAAGATATGAAGAAATTGAACGATGCAGGAAAGGAAGTGAAGAATGGAGAAGACGTCATGTTGGTACCAGAAGACAATGTGATCGAAAGACAGTGTGAGGGTGAGAGAAAGGATCCAGATCGGGAGACATGGGCAGATGATGCTTTGGATGAAGTGAAGACAGAGAAACGAATGCCAGAAGCAAAAACATTATTTGAAGAAGAACGCGATGGTGAAGGTCGGAGTGGAGATGAAGAGGAGGTGGAGAAAGTGGATACTGGTGATGGGGAAGATGTGAAGACAGAGGAAGAGGTCCACATAACAGAAGATAAAAGCGTGATGGAAACAGACGAAGGAGGGAAGAAGGACCTAGAGCTGGTGGAGAAAGGGGAAGATGAGGGCACAGGGAAGGAGCCCACTACGGTGGGGGAAGAATTTGATGCAAGGAATGAAGGTAATATCAGGGGAGAATATGAGAGAAAGGCTACAGTTCAACAGAAAAAGATGAGTGATAGTGCAGAGTCAGCTGATTTAGAGGAAGACACAGGAGGCGAACACGACGTGATGAAGGAAGGAGAAGGAGGAGATGGGATGGAACAAGAGGAAAGAGAGAAGACTGGAGATGTATATACTGAGCTAGCAACCGTTGTTGGGACCGAAAGAAATCCACAGACAGACAAAGTAGAGGAAGAAATCGATATAATAGACCCACGAGGGCCAAACAAAGGACTCACGGGGGAAGCAGATGAAACTGTCGTGACAGAAGTAAAAGCAAAAGTACAGAATAGATAACGTCAAGAGATGTGAAGAGGGTCGTGGAGAGGAGAAGTTTCTTTGTGCCTGAATGGGGCATATTGGTGACAGAGTTAGCGAAGAAAGGCGAAGGTTGTGAAATACATGTAGCTTTGTTTATATATCAAAGGAGGACATTCGGTTTTTGGGCTGACTTTGTGAAAGTGTGTGATACGTTGACATGGCAGTAGAACAACGTGTGCGGCATACACCATCAACCGATACCCAAAGGCTGGAAGACCTAAAGTATCACGTGACTTAAACACGTCACAGTGAAGTTCCCTATCTGCACAAGACAGTTAAGACATGTGTACAGACATCCAGTAGTGCTAAAAGGGCACGATTATAAAAACCTCGTTTTAGAATGAGCCGCACTTGGAAAGAGCGCTTGATGGCTACCTTTATTGTGCCAAGACCAGGATGACTTCTGAACAGTTTTCTTGATTGTAAATACCAAATCAGACGTCGAGAATTCGTAAGCTCATTCAAATAAAGCATGTTTATTCCTGATAAACATGTAGAGATGTGACCAAGACGATTGCGTCCAGTAAACATGATCCCGAGTCTGGTAAAAATCCTAAATGCAAGTGCGTCAGAACTTTATTAACTTTTCCATCAAACTTACCATTTTCCTGGCATGGTATCTCAGATAGGTTACATTGTTCATAATAGGAAATAGTAGGTTGTCGACGAACCGCTCGTCGCTCGTCCCGACGTCGCTCAGTATATCGAGGACCATGTGTTCCTCTGTTAAACGAGTACAGAAACAACACTGCTACTGTAGAGACTACAGACAAATGTGTATACTGGGCCACTTCGTGTTTGCTAAAGCTGCAGTCACACAGACAATGTGACCGCGAGGCAACCTCTTAGCGACTGGTTTCCTTTGCGACCGACTGGCGATCGCTGAGACCGGTGCAACTACTTCTGCCCCTATTTGCAACCAGGGTATGATCGCCGATCAATCAGCGATAGGTTTTGCAACTTGTCAGTGATTGATCGGCAACTGTTCACCGCAGACACGGCGAAATGTTTGCAACTGGTTGAGACCGATCGGTGACTAGTAAGCGAATCTTCGGTGACTTGTTGTAACTGGACGGGGACTGGTCGGTGACTAGTTGTCCATCGATCACCGATCTAAACATAATGCATATAAAAAGGGTGCTTTTCTGAATCAATACATTTCTTTGCATTTTGTCACCGATGACGCACCGGTCGATCACCTTCCTCATCATTGATCAGTCACCGGGAGGTCGCCACTAGGTTGCAAAGAATCAACACCCTTGTGTAGACGAAACCGATCGCCGCACAGTGGAAACCAATCTGCTATTAAAATGACACCACTTGGGGACCTCCAGGAGACCGATGAAACCTCCAAGCGACCAAATCGGTCGCAGCCATTCTTTTGTGCATGTTCAAAAGACTGGTTGCGACCCAATGAGTTTTGCGACCGCTCTGAAACCTTGTATCGACCTCAGTGAAACCTTTCAGAGACCCCTGAAACCTCATTGCGATTGTCAAATATTTTGGTCGCCAGGAGGTTGCATCGCGGTCGCATTGTCTGTGTGACTGAGGCTTAAGTGACTTGTGTTTGTGTTTTTGTAACGTCAGCTCTAAACTTCTACAAGTCGTTCAAATGTGTAACTGTCAACGTGATAAATATTAAGGGCGTTCCACAACGTTTGAGTTAATTTGATTGCTGCAATCAGATTATCAGCTTTGTCATAATGTATATACAGCATAATCATGTACATTCGAAGTCCTTGGGACTATAAAAATAGATTGAGTGTCGATACTAAGCAGCTACTGCTTGTACGGGGACCATCAAATTACATCATTCTAAAATATGCAGTTGTAGTGTATCGACTTAATGGAGTCTTTTTACTGAAATGGTTTTCGACAATTCTTTGAGATAACTATTACATTCTGATAAAAGGCTCCTATAAAAATGCATGAACTTCCAATACAACTATATTTGGCCAAATCACGTGAGTCATTTTCATGTGCGATTGCGTGAAATGTAAATATACAACGTGAACGCCAGAGAATAACCCGTCTCACGCCAACGCCAGTCTCGATCATCCGCCGAAACTGATTCCATTGTGCGTAAGGCAAAATAGCGGTGAAGATTATATGAATGGATCACTAAAATTCAGTGATGACACTAGGTGTTCGAGAAGACTAAATGTATTACTTAGCTCCGGTTTCAAATCTGTCGTCGTTCTTCCGATCACTCCGGGATTTACCGGAAGTCTCTCATCAAGATCCAGCAGCGTTCATTTTGATATACTCACGCACATAAATGACGGAACAAAGCTTTCAAATTCAGAAGGGAATTTAACAATTTAAGAACAATATATTTTTGGCATTTAATATTGTTGTTACAAAGAAAATCAAGTAATTCTGTCTTTGTAAAATAACTTTAATTACACACATTAGAATAGACGTAAACGAAATCATTGTAATATGTCGTAGTTTCGCCGTCACTTTCTTCAAGAGACTAGGTTCCGATCACGAAGCGACCTTAGGCCTCCGACTGTCGTAAATCTTTGTTGAACAGTCTGAGCTACGGTGGTCGTAACGCTACGATTGCTTTGTGAACAGGGACCCTGAAATTTGCTCGGCAGGCAAACTCACCAGTTATTCAAACCCGTTTTCGGGGAGAATATCCACTCAACCGTGACCTCCAAGAGACCACGTGATACATCAAGCGTGGGTCACCAAAATCGTTTTTTCTCCACTGGTTGAGTTTGTATTGCTCTTGTTATGAAGTAACCAGTATTCGCATTTTATTTTCTGGTACAGCATTACGTCCACGTACTGTTGTAAACGACAGATTTGTTAACATGTCGGCCTTCATTTCATTCTTTGCATAATATTTCATATGTGACGAAAACCAACCCTTGAAGTCCTTACCAAATAATGATTAATTATGTAGTTAGGTAGTTGAACTTCTCTTGTGGTGAAAGTATTATTTATGTAATAAAAATGTACAATCTGCCTTTTTGTTGCTATTAAATAAGAGAAATTGAACATGCAATGCTTTTTTTGTATTCTGTTCGCACTGTAAACCATCTTTAACAGGGAGTCATTTGAGATATACGAGCCACGGAACTGACCTGTGTTTACCGGTTAAGCATCTTCCCGAGGCAAGAGAGTTAACTGACTCTAGAAGTCCAGTTTCCACACTTGCCGAACTAGGCTGGAATTGTGGAGTTATGGGCTGGAATAACGAGTCTATGTAAAGTCCAATCAAAATCGTGTAACGAAATCGACACCGTCGTGCAGATTTGAAAAGTCAGTCAACTCGCTTGCCTCGGGAAGATGTGTTCTCCATAAAGGATTTCCATCACCAGAAAAGCAAGAATTGTCTGTCAGCAAACCGTGAGCTTTAATGCTACTCTTTCAAACCGACGGACCATTTGATATTGTTGTAGGGACCTGGGATTTGGTATCGAAATTAAATAATTTTCAGCTTCAGGTGCAAAACCAGATGTTTTTTAGGTATAAAACTGTGAGCCTGATTTGCAGCAATGTAATTTTTGTGGCAAACAATTTCTTTTTTGAAAGGTCTGAAGTATAATTATTTTTTAAAGATTTTTTAGGGACAATTTATTGTTTTCGATAAAATACCTGAAGTAAAAACTATATGAATATCTATTGTTGTTTTGAAACTTGTGTCTATTTCGATTGCTTCAAAATAGAATTCACCTCTTAGTGCATATCAAAACTGATATTAAAATGAATAAAGTGGGGAAAGCCAAATAGATCGTCATAAAAATACTCAGTGGGCACGTGCAATTGGATGACAATTGTTAACTGATACGTTAACTCACTGTAAACAAACGCACGTGTGTGGATTTGAATAATTAACAACAATTCATTCAACACATTCTTATTATTCGTGTTTCTTAAGAACTCTGGATTATTTATAGTACCTCAATCCTCATGGAGTTGTTTTATGTTTGAGAATTTTTAAATGCCATAGGTCTCTATCCCGTTTTGAAGATCAGATTCCATTGTTGGTTCAAGACAAAAGTAGCGAAAGATACGTAGAACTTAGACCTTCAGTGTTACACCATTGCATATTACATATCGCAAATGTTATTACTGTTTTGCAGGAGTGAGTATGTCCATAGGTTTTGTTTTGACTTTATTGATGCATGTCATCGTGTCCCAATTTGCTTGGATCGATGATCTTGATGTCAATCACTGGATTGTCTGGTCTAGACTTGATTATTTACAGACCGCCGTCATATATCTGGAATATTGCTCAGTGCGGCGTTAAACAACGAACAAACAAACAAACAAAGTTTTCAGACGGCAATTAAAAAACCCTCGCTTAATTGAGATTTTTTTCTACTTTCTTGATACTTACAGATCCTTAATCCAGTTACAACAACGCCTTAACCTGAGTGAATATTGTTTAGGCCGCAGTCAGCAATGTTTCAGCAATTACACAGATGTTTGTAAGCAATCGCGCTGGGACCACACCAAAGTTACTGTAAAGGGCGCTACTGTCTACTCCAGGGAGTACGATGACACACAGCCTCGTCACCGAACCCCTTCATCTGGTGACTCTTAGGACTGGCATTGGATTACGGGGATTTGATGTTCTGACCCGAAATTTACATGCATGTTTAGCCTTAAAATTAGAAGCTGTTATCCACAAACAACCAATAATGTCTATTGTACAACCCAAGTATTGATACGAGAACATCCTATACGCAATTGTATGAAGCAGAAGCAGAGACCATGTGCTGTTGTGGTTCATTACATAAGCTAGTATATCCGTTGGAACTGATTGACTGAGTGTACCTAAAGTCACTCCTCGTCAAAACTTAAAAAGCTGCAGGCTTTATTGGCACAAAGGAGATGTGGTGAGGTGGAGTGGGGTTTAACGTCGCGTTCAAGATTATGCTCTGATATAGCGACGTGTATGAAGCAGTTGAACATGAATACCCCACTCAGACACAGTATCCTCACGCAAAGCCGACCAGTCTTTGTTTTAGCCATTTAATGTCGAGCGCCAGGCAGGGTGACAACAAGTTCAACCTTTTCAACGTCTTTTGGAATGATGCGGCCGGGGATAGAACTCCGATCTTCACATCTCCGTGCAGACGCTTTACCACTAGACCACGGAGGCGGTCAGCACAAAGGAGAAAATTTGTAGATTATATGATTGTTACAAAAGAGTGAGTTTGGTTAATCGCCGCTTAGAATAATATTGCAGTTATATCACGGCGTGTCAGCTTGATGTTGGAGAAAAACTGATGTGATGTAGGTCTCAGACGTTTACCACATTGGTGAAACACACGAACACGGGTATGGTGCTTGACAAACCTAGAAACATGGTCAGGTCAAACTGGAATTGTAACCCACGATCGTATGTTTCTGGCATGCCTGATTGACACAGGACGACTTGTGGGGCCTTAGACGACAGGACATCCCTGATTCTGTTTCAAAAGAACGTTATGACACCCTGGGGATTCCGGGCAATATGAGAAACAAATAAATAATGAAGATCGGACGGTCACAATCATCGGCATCATTGTGTCCTGGCGACATGGATCGCAGCTCGCACTGTCAACCTCTGGATTTCCTGCCCTTGGTATCACTATACACAGGCTGCCATGACAACGCGCAAAAAATGCTGATTGTGTCGTAATTAAAATGTTTGTCTTACGAAAGAAATTTGTCAGAAGTGAGGAGATGGCAGACCACTTATTATCATAAATGCCAATTTCCCCCCAAAAGGTGTCCCTAAAAGAATCCATTATACTTGTTTAAATACAAAAAGATCCAAGAATCGAGTGAATGCATGCATACGTGATGTGTAGATTCTGAAATCTTCAAATACAGACTGGTCGCAGAACATGCAGATACGATAAAGAAATAACATTCAGTTCTTCATCACAGAAACTAGGAATGTTGCTTTTCAATATTTTCGACTCAGGAATTTAATTCCTTGTGTTGCATACGTTAAATTTGAACGTTACTTGTTTTCTCAATAACCGTTTCGATAGAATTTGATCACAAACACAGAATTATAAGAATCAGATAACAGACATACTGAAAAGAATACTGCCTGTGAGCTTTGTGTCAAAACTATCCTGAGACCGTGAGGATCCTCAACAGTCCAGACACGACCCTGTCTTGTCCTTTTATCCACTACTTGTATTGCCGGGTGAAGCGCAACAGCTTGGAAAACAGAGTTACTTCCCTTCGGGTTTTCCCCGAAGCCGGAAGTGTCGCAAATTCTCCGAAATACGAGGTGCAAGCAAGATCAGATTTCTTTGTAATTAATATGAAAATAAAAAATCGATTCATGTCTTGGCGATATCAACACGAATTTAAAACATGTAACCGTACAACGTAGGGCTGATAAGAAGCGAAAACTGAGTAATTGAAACAACTAGGTCGGTGTGACTCAAATTCAGAGAAAATGTGAAAGCGAAAATAAGATTGATAGTCATAGTGAGAATCGTACGACCATTCTTTTCATTTGCACACAAACATGGCCGCTGAAGGCAGTTTTGAGTTCTTCTCAAACGTCTCGCCATTCAGCCTTCAACACGAAGCCCCATTCGCCATACAGGGGAAAACGTTCAACTGTGTTCTACAGTATCTAATGTATCGGAAGGCAGGTAAGATTGAACGCTGAACCATTGTTCATGATTTATCAGTACATCGTGTATTCAAAGGAATGTTTAGTCAAATAAAGCAAGTGTACACATGACCAAATTTGCTGATTTCCATTGTAAGTAGACAATTCACATATAACGAAGAGACAGAAAAATAACCGATTTAAATGCACACTAGCAAATAGACTAAACCTGATTATTTTGATAGACTGGTTCACATTACTTAGTTGACATATTGGATATCTTCACGATTAAATTCTACAAATTCTACGTGAAATAGTGTGTAAGTAATGAGACAAAGTCCCCTAGAGTAATCTAACTATAATATCACATAGTCAAACATTAGGACTGATATGTTTTGATACTAATCACAACTGTATGGCGTTATAAACTGTAATAAGTTGGATAAATATTATTTTTAGGAAACGAAACTGACATTCATGACCGACTGTATTCAGTAACGTGTTTCATGATCTACTATCTTCCAGAAAACATTTTGCAACGTTAGATCTATATAAGCTGAGGCGAAAAAGACAATTTTGCTCTGTGAACTTCTCTGAAATTGGCGAACTGAGGAAGCTTAACTTTGTTCTGTATAATTTTTTCTTAAAATCATCAAGATTTTAGTGTATAAATTTTAGTCCTGAGTATTCTTACCGAAAATATTAAGTGGCTGTCTTCGTGCATATCTTAAACTATTTACCACATATCCAGGTTAACTACAGTGCGGTGGCAGTATTGTGTAATTAATTTATTTAAACAAACTGTACCTGTACCTGTCATATGTGTAACGTGGAAGGGTATATGGTATTCATGGTGCATGCACGTTTTATAGGGAAACGTAACAGGTGTATTTCATCCAGTGAAAAACTGCAGGGAACAGTAAAGCGATTCTTCTCGCTTGTATACTAAGGAACGATATCACATAGTGAGGCGGGTGTTTGTTATTGAGGCGGGCATAGATGAAATATAACAATAAATTTATTATGGCATTCCTCTATTTTCAGTTTTATTCAATGACAAGGAAACAGCAGAGGACATCATGGGAACACAGAATCCTGACGAATACGAACTCCTTGGGGGACAGATCTTCAGGTTTCATCATACAACTTGGGATAAGGAAAGGATGAAATATCTTGATCTTGCTCTCGAGGCCAAGGTGAGAACTGCTTTACCTCATGAATGTCAAAGTAGCACCTCTAATATAGTAAATTTGATCACGTATGATTTAAATAAACGTTAGACTGTCTTTCGGCCAAGGGCAACCCTATGTTCTGATCGCTGATTTTGAAACCTCTTCGTACTATGATCTTAGCCCTGTCGTAACTGTCACTCTCTTAATTTTAACATAGACTTACGTGTACGATACTCTAAGCGCTGAGGTCACATTTTTGGCTTTTCAAGTACTTTATTACATTACTCTACTGATTTATTTAATCGCTACTAAAATGTCGTTATAATACCGGAGACAACTTCGTTTTCCCTCCAGAATGCGAAGATGGTACTTTTTGGGTTGGCGCAAATACATGTTGAATCATGCAAATACATTTGTCAAAGAGTGAGTGAGTGAGTGAGTATGGTTTTACGCCACTTTTAGCAATATTCCAGCAATATCACGGCGGGGGACACCAGAAATGGGCACACATTGAACCCATGTCGGGAATCGAACCCGGGTCTTCGGCGTGACGAGCGAACGCTTTAACCACTAGGCTACCCGACAGCCCCCATTTGTCAAAGAAACAAAACAAAACAAAACTCACGTCGTTGTGTTATTTTTGGCAAAACCGAACGACCAGAAACAATATGCACATTGTCAAGCGCCTTGGCCAGGTCTTTGTATAACCAAATGAGAAAACTAGGTAATGAGGTAGATAAAAATGAGGCGGCCAGGGTGGCAAAGCCTTGATTCTTCACATCGTCGCCTGGTGGATACAGCGTCTGCTCAAAGAACTGACGGTCAGCGGGTACCGCATAATAACAAAAGACTTTAAAAGATGGTACTTGTTGTTACTCAGCCTGGCGCTCGGCATTAAGGGGATAAAACAAGGACTGGTCAGCACAGAGTCAGTATACTGTGTCTGAGTGTGGTTACTGCGCAGTATGATATCTCAATGGGCTAACACTATAAAACCAATATCAGTCCGGACTAGTACAGGTAGCATTGCATGCAATTATTGTGAAGTCCAGCTTTCTTGAAAAACATTACTCATAAATTGTTTTTGTCAAAGCAAAAATGTTCCCACCCACTCTGAATGTAACATCAAAGTTGTCCCACACAAAGTGTCAGAATGATATTGCGATTAGTTTCCTTTTGTTCTTCAATAATGCTTGACGAATTTCGTGATGATTAGACCAAACCAAGATTGTTGAAACCAGTCACGCTGGTTGAAAAAACACCATTTGCTCTTTCAAAAGAGTCCATGTGCACCTTTAATAACACGACCCTTTTTAATATCGTGTTTAGTTCATTACAAAAAGATATCCTGAAGTTAATACATTATTTGATGCTGTTTGCACTTATATTTCGTTTGAATTTGAAAATTTCAACAGCAACAACAAAAAAACACCGAGCTTAATGTGTACTTAACAGCAAATGTTTTCTCCAGTTCACCCAGGTCCCAGACTTCCAGGGACAGTTGTTGGCGACACACCCACGAGTACTGGCATATGCCTCGCCTGAAGACAACATCTGGGGCATTGGTTTAACCAAGACTAATCCCAAGGCTACGGCCAGAAGACATTGGAAAGGAGAAAACGATCTTGGCAATGCCCTTACTAGAATCAGGGACAAACACATGCAGATGGAAAACAGGCTGGAGGAGGGTAGAGAATGGGAAGATGAAGAGGCAGATGGAAACACAAGTAGGGATGACAGAAGGCAGGGTCGACAAGGGAACAGCCAGAGGCAGGCGAGCCGGGAAAGCAAAGGGCATAGTGGGAGAGGGGAGAGTCAAGGAGTTGAGGGGCAGGGAAGCAAGGATGGCAAACTAAAAAGGACACATGAGCAAACAGATCACAACTTGGACAAGCGCAGAAGAAGAAACATGGGTCCAAGAAACACCACAACATCCTACACAGAAATGCCTAACCAGGACAAATTCGTCCTATTTTTCGGCAATCAATCGCCATTTAGCCAGCACCATCGAGCCACTTTCACCATAGGCGGAACAACATTCAACTGTGCTGAACAGTACATGATGTATCAGAAGACAGGTAAAAAAAAGAAATGAATTTTTTCCATTTCACAAGCTTTTTTAATTAATGTTCATTTAGGGATTATACTGTTTAAAATATAGTGACAAAGTAGTGGGGGTGTAAGGGTGCGCACCTCCTCTGTTCTTTACGCTTATCAACATTTGTCAGTCCCTGTATTATGTTTGTATTCACACTCCACCCCCAAACAAGTGTTGAGTTATCGTTGCAGTTATTTTTGGGAACAAAGAAATGGAACTAAAGATCATGGCGACTTCTAACCCTGTGCAACAGAAGCGATACGGTCGTCAGATCCCAGAATTCAAATTCGAAGTATGGAAGAAGCACTTCATAGAGGTCGTTGACCGGGCCACGGAGGCTAAGGTTTGCATTGTTTAATGTTCATACAAAGAGAACTGGGATATGTTAATTAAGAAATACAACAAACATGGCACGCATGACTCATAGTAAGCCCTGTCAGCATCCGTTATATTCCCCCGATTATGACCCTTGGTTTGTCAAGCCCGTGCCTGTGCATGTCGACAGTTTTCTAAACATTCAAGAGTGATTTAGATAATGGCATCACGGCTGTTCGGTGTTATAGCTGAAAACAACTGTTTTTCTCACATATCTGGTGTCTTTTTCCCATTTATGCCCTAATGACAAACTGCTCTTTGTAACCCGCGGGGATTCCGGGGTAGAATTGGTCACTATTACAGCTTGTAAGCAACTGTTTATAACATGAATCACTGGATAGCCTGGTTCAGATTCGATTATTACAGGCCGTCGTAATATAGATGTAATACACGCACGCACCACACACATAAAAATAGTATGGTGTCACTAACAAAGGTTGTTTTCATAGCTGTAAGATCTGGAATGTTTGGATTTCAGTTCTCTCAGAATCCACATTTGCTGGAACACCTGGTCGCCACGCACCCTAAGCTGTTGGTGGAGGCGAGTCCATCCGACCGTTTGTGGGGAATAGGGCGTGGCCAAAAAGACCCCTTAGCCTGGGACAAGGAAACATGGCGGGGCAAAAACCAACTGGGCTACATAATGACCCGAGTGAGAGATAGATTGATGGAGGTCGAGGACACACACTGGGAGGAATGGGAGAAGTGGAAGGACGACAAGAGGTGGGAGGAAGAGGTTGAGAAGGATGTAAGAAGGAAGAAGAGGAATAAGCGACGATGGGAACCAGATCAATCGGTTCCTTACAGAGGACGTCACGAAGAACAGACTACCCAAACTAGACGGGATGGTGACGGGGCAGAGGAGGATAGTATTACTTTCCAATCCAAAAGTGTATCTTTCAAACATGTGTACGGGAAAGAAAATTTTGAATTTTTCGTGGGCATCAAATCTCCATTTAGCCAAAATTATCCTGCCAGTTTCACAATCGATGGTCAAACCTTCACCAGTGCTGAACACTTCACACTGTACCAGATGGCCGGTGAGTGGTTGGATGTTATCCAGGGCTGTAGAGATGTAATACTGATGGATCAGTTCTTCGTTGCACCCTAAAATGTGATGGAATTTAATGAAGTATATTTCAAAACAAGTATCAATGTATTTAAAATGGTAACATAGTCAGTTGAGCTGTCATAATGTCAGAATATCTGGTTCATTTAGTTATCAGATGTATCAGTGTAAGAATCATCATAATGTGATCATTATCAGCACTGGGCAATTTCTTATGAGACACGTGCAATTGAAGGTCTATTCAAAACCCAACTTGATCTAATGAGACTCAGGTGTTATAACTTCAGATTTGAAGCCCTGCTGCAGTTTAACAAACTGGAGTGACATCTACACACCGAATGTACATATACCTTTCTCATTATATCAGGTAGTCATTGTGGTATGTTGAGTGTTTTTATTATTACCTTGTGAGATATTTTATCGGCGTTTCCGGTGCATAACACATTTTGGAAAGAATTCCGTTATCAAGATTTTGAAAAAGTGATGTTTATCATGAAATGTGCCTGTATTTTCAGTGATATTTGAAGACCAGGAATGTCAGAAGAAAATCATGTCCACAAGTGACCCCAGTGAACAGGACCGCTATACATATGACATCCAGAACTTCCAGTGGAATGTATGGGAACAGAAATGCGTACAAATTGTTGAACGCGGCATCACGGCCAAGGTGAGAGAACCATATTGCACCATGATGGTACTGGGATTCTACGACCTTTTAAAGGGCAATTTATCCATAATATCAACCTAACACATACGAAAAACTGGTTCTCGTTCTATTTAAGATAAGGGCAATGTTTTTTAAAAAGAAATGTTTTTCAATTTAAAAACATTTATTGTCATAAAACATACTATGCTCAAAGTAATACATCATTCTTTTGATTATCTTCAAATGTTCATTTTAATATTCTACAGTGTATAGCTCGCGGTTTTCTTGTTGTTTCTCTAGTTCACTCAAAATTCCGATCTAAGGGGGCAACTTTTCGCCACGTACCCAAAACTCTTAGCTGAGTGTAAGTATGACGACGACTACTGGAGTATTGGGTATGGTCTCGGATTTGCAAAGAGGAAATGTGAAGCATGGGACACAAATAAGTGGAGAGGGTGGAACGTACTGGGCTACACTTTGACTGATGTCAGGGACAGACTTATGAAGATCGAGAAGGGACAGAAGGAATTAGATGTGGAAGATGTGAGTCGTCAGGCCACGATAGAAGGTAAAGGCGTGCTGCTTGATAGGAAGATTCTTGTGGCGGAAGAAGCTGGGGTGGGTGGAGAAGATGGGGAAGATGTAACGACAGAAAAAGACGAAATTGAAGTAGATGAGGAAATGCGAAGAACTGATAGGGATGTTGAAGAAGATGAAAGCAAACCACACAGAAAGGAGAATTTGGTTAGTGAGGAGGAAGAGGTCACAGTGGGAGGAAGCAAGTTGAGAGGGAACGAAGATGCAGATAGCACATTGGCTGGTGACAGGGACGTGATGGAACGTGATCAGAGAGCAAGAAACAGTGTGGGAGAGGGAGGAAATAATGGGTATGTCCCATTGGAAGGAGAAGATGATGGTAGAGAGGACGAATGTATAGCTGGGCTTGACAGTACAGAGGTGGGCGAGGGAAATGTGGCAGAACAACATAAGGTGGAGAAGAGTATTGGAAAAGAACTGAAGAAGGAGGAAGAGGTCACGCCATTAGCAGAACATGAGTCACTGACGAAAGAGAAGAATGAGGAGGAGGAGGAGGAGGAGAGGACTGAGAACGAAGAAATGGAGACATTGGAGAATGGTGGAGAAAAGCTTACATTGGTGGCTAAGATTGAAGAAGTAAACAAGGTAGTTGCAGATGTGGGTGACAGAGTAGAGGAAGATGAAAGGGTAACAGTGGATCAACAGGAGGGTGAAGGTGAGAGAGCCAATATAGAGGAAGGGGTAACGCGGGCACTGGAAGAAGAACCATTTGTGGAAGGGGGGCACGGTGAAAGGGAAACTTCTGAGAGGCTGGGGACAGGAAATGAAGTTAAGAAAGAGAAAGAGGTAACATCGGTACAAGAAGGCACGGAAAGAGGTGGTGGAGGAGGGAGTAAGGTTCAGGAGCGAGTAAAGAAAGAAGGTGATAATACAGGAAAGGACGTGAAGACAGCAGAAGATGACATGTCGGTACCTCCCGATATTGGGGGAGATGGCGAAAGAAGGAGGAAGGTTCATGAGCGATTTGAGAAGGAAGGTAATGATACAGGAGAGGAAGAGGTATCGTTGGTGGAGGCAGCCAGTGTTGTAGATGGGGGAGATACAAAGAAAGATCCCCAAAAAGTGAAAAGTGAACTGTTGCAGAAAGTGTATGTAAAGATGTGAAGAAATTGAACGAAGCGACGAGTGGAGAAGATGTCATGTCGGTACCAGAAGACAATGTGGTCGAAAGGGAGGGTGAAGGAGAGAGAAAGGATCCTCATCACGAGACGGGGGCTTCGGATATTTTGAATAAATCAAAGACAGAGAAACGAATGCCAGAAGCAAGTACATTATTTGAGGAAAAATACGCTGATGAAAGTCAGAGTAGAGATGAAGAGGAGCAGGAGAAAGGGGATACTGGTGATGGGGAAGATGTGAAGACAGAGGAAGAGGTCCACAAAACAGAAGATGAAAACATGATGGAAACAGACGAAGGAAGGAAGAAGGGCCTAGAGCTGGTGGGGAAAGAGTGTGAAAGAGAGTGAGACGTTGACATGGCAGAAGAACAAGGCGTGCGGCATACTCCATCAACCGATACCCAAAGGCTGGAAGACCTAAAGTATGACATGACTTAAATATGTCACAGTGAAGTTCCCTATCTGCACAAGACAGTTAAGACATGTGTACAGACACCCAGTAACGCTAAACATATCACGATTATATCAGCCTCGTTTTGAAATAGGCCGCAATTGGAATCAGCGCTTGATGACTACCTTTCATGTGCCATGGTGACTAGTGAGCAGTTATTAGCTTGCATGATTGTAAATACCAAAACCAGACATCGAGAATTCATAAGCTCATTCATATAGAATATCTTTATACCTGATAAACATGTAGAGATGTGACCCAATCTCATTAAAATCAGATCTTAGTTCTCGCTACCGCTAAACAAAGATCTGAGGACATCCCATTAGGGGTCACGTCAGGACTTTTCATCCGACCTATCAGTGCGTCGCTTACCAGATTATGAAAGTGACAGTCGAAATGTGATTTTATACTCATGCAATCTCGAAAACTTTAACATGAGGTATTCCGAACGGGTTTAACGACTGAATCCTTACAATCTAGACCATCTTTTAGCCATTCCAGAATGTTTTTTTGTTCAGGTTTCAAATTTGTAATCGAGAGTTTGAAATTTGTGCCGTAAAGCACGAGAAAGCTGCCTTCTGATTGGTCATTCCATTGGTCGGTCAAAGTTCGCGCAAGGTCGGTCTGACGTGACCCGCAATGGGATGTCCTCAGATCTTTATTTAGCGGCAGCGAGAACTAAGATCTGCATTTAATGAGATTGAGATGTGACCAAGATGATTTGCTTCAGGACAACGATCCGAAGTCTCTCGTTATGTCGGGGTCTGTGTCCCGACGTCGCTCCGTATATCGAGGACCTTATGTTTATCGAGTGCTGAAAAAACCCGTTACTGTGAGTCTACAAAACGTGAAGATACGGGCCTCTTTGCTTTTGCTGATTTGTTATTTTGTGACGTCAGTTCTACACTTGACATACACCTGACGTTGACGTTCAAATGTCTATTCGTTTTCTTGTCGTGGTGAATATTGAGGGCCTTCCATAACGTTTATTATGTGACAGTGTAATTGATTAATATAATCAGAGTAACAGGTGTGTGATCAGTTATAGCATATACAGCACAACCATGTCAAGACCCGTGAAGATCCGGGGTAGAGTAGGTCTTCAGCAACCCATGCTTGCCGTAAAAAGCGACTATGCTTGTCGTAAGAGACGACTAACGGTGTTCATGGTGTCAATCACTGGATTGTCTGGTCCAATCCGATTATTTACAGACCACCGTCATATAGCTGGAATATTGCTGAGTGCGGCGTTAAACAACAAACAAACAAATAAACAAACAAACGAAGTTCTTGGGATACAAATAGATCGAGTTCTCCGTCGTTCGAGACAAGCGGATGGTCGATATTAAGCAGCTCCTTCTTGTATGGGGAGCATCAAATTCTAAACAATATGTTATACTAGTATATCGACTTTATGGAGTCTTCACTGAAATGTATGTCGAGAGTTTATTGCGGGTTGTCATTAAATGCTGATAAAAAATAACAAGGTTCTTATAAAAAACATGAACCTCCAAAACAACTGATATATGTGACCACATCACCCAAGCAATTTTCATGTGCGATTGCGCGAAATGTAAATATAAAACGTTAATGCCAGAGAATAACTAGTGTCGCTTGATCACCCGCCGATACAGATAACATTGAGCGAAAGGCAAAATAGCGGTAAGCATTAAACAAACCTAGGCGTAAACCTGGATAATTCTCTCAACTAACTGTATTAGTTGACTGCGGTGTCAAGTCTCCGTCGTTCTTCCGGTCACTCCGGGCTCTACCGGAAGTTCCTTATCAAAATTCAGCATCTTTCATTTTAATTTACTCATGCACACAAATAGGGAACACAGCGGACTTTTATTTGCTATCAAATTCAGAGAGGAATCAACGTTATTTAAGAGCAAAAAGTTTGTTTATACTTAACATTGTTGTTACACGGAAAATGAAGTAATTCTGTCCATGTAAAATAGATAAAGATCCTTTAGCCGAGTGGTTAAAGCGTTCGCTCGTCACGCCGAAGACCCGGGTTCGATTCCCGACATGGGTACAATGTGTGAAGCCCATTTGTGGTGTTCCCCGTCCTGATATTGCTGGTATATTGCTAAAAGCGGCGTAAAACCTCATTCACTCACTCCACTGCTTGAGTGTGTATTGCTCCTGTTATGAAG